TCAGAGGCTTTCTGAAACATACTGTCAACATAATTCAAAAGATTTTGTAGCTTAATCTGACCATTCATAATATCATCTATTAATCTCCTTAATCTGCATGAAGTCAAATATTCTTCTGTTTAGAAAACATCACTGCAAGTTTAGTCCAAGATGGAGGAGTGAGCTTGCCAGCCCCTTGCCCTGTACAGACTAGAACAGTGCTTATATGAGGCAGCAGGACAAAGTCTTTTCCATCAGTGATCAGCTGGGCTGACTGGGCATCGCTAGTAGTAACATGAAAGCTATTTCCATCTATACAGATTTTACCTATGCCACAGCCATAAGAAAGGCAAGATACTCTGGGAGTTTATATAAATGAACTGCACATAGTATACTATTTACAAACCTCCTTCTTCCACACACATGATCTGATTATTTTCTACTACAAAGATCATTAGCAGGATGACAGGGAGAGGCTATCAGGTTGCAAATCCAGAAGCCCTTTCTTTCCCCAGCTAAAAAGAGGTCCCTAGTAAATCTCTACATTAACTTCTGCAAAGTCGATCTCACAGATACCATGATTCAAAACAGCACTCCTGTTCAACTTCTTTTGCTTTCGTTAAGGCATTTTGTTTCTTCCACATGTTAAATAGGAAACAGAGCATAAGGGACATGTTAAACAGGAAACAGAGCACAAGGAAAGCAAAGACATCATGTGAATACACCCATTGTTACTTACTTCTCCTGTGATTGGATTGGTTCCGTACTTCTTTATCCAAGGAACAATGCTCCTGAAAAGAGAAGGGATAAAATACTAAGTGACAAGCACAAGCAGAAAACTCTGTTGATAGGCATGATTACTTTTGCCAACTTGCTAAAACCAAATGACGACCGCATAGCTGTAACCACCTCAGCAACACAAAAATAAAGCTAAGTACAGACAGTAACTTACAGTATGTCAAAGACTGTCCCATCTGGTGTGCAAACAGGGTATTCAAATGGCTGAAGAGACAAACTAGGAAAGAAAAGTACACATTCTTTTTAGCAAAACCAGCTGGACATCATGACAGAAGCAAACTACATTTTGCTGATTCACTTGCACATTTAAGTAAGGCCTACCCTAATAAAAATACTGAGTGACTGCCAATACCCAGTACCTGATTCTACATAAATCATGTTAACAACAAACCCATGAAGGGAACTGGTGCAGTTTAGTAATGTGGAGCAGCCAGCATTCACAGCCATAGAGCCACGGGACGCTGCAATACTCCCCAGCTGACACATTGGGCCCCACCAGCAAAAAAAGATGGCTCAAGCAGAAACACTCGCTGTCTTTGCACTGAAAAGGACCAGGGAGTAACTAGCGTTCATATTCAGTACTCTCTGTTAAGGATGCTTCCATAAAGCAGCCAGCTTTTACCCAAGCAGCAGTAGTTTGCAGATGAACTATTCAATTTACAAGAGGATTTCAAACCCACCTCTACTAACTTCCCTCTTTCACTCCAGCACTTAAAGCAGTAAACTCTAAACACAAAAAATTAACATAAATATTGCTTCAATCTACCTAATCACTGCTTCAGAAAGACAAGCGACTAACAGAGCATATTCTGAGAAATGAGAGGGAGACTCAAGCTACAGTTACACAAATTTGAAAGACTGAAATGTACCTAATAATTGTTCTGAATTATTTTATCACTTCCGTATTCTTTAGCCATCAGCTCCAATCTCTGCAGACACCAATCATGGAAAGTACAGACACTGGTTTAGCTCTTACCAAATTTTTTCTTGCTGTATTACTATCATAGCAAGCACAAGCCAATGAAAGTAACTACCTCAGAAGAACACGTCTTCAGTGATAGTTCAATGTCACCAGCCTGATAAATACAAGTATCATTTAATAATGGTAATGTATATTTGTTGTCTTACCTGCAGTGATCAAATGACAAACGTCTAAAATTAGTTCGTGGAAGGTCTGTTGATGAGAAAAAAACCACAAAAACAAAACAACACAACAGAATTGTAATAAATATATAGTAAATGCTCCATCCCTGGCAGTGTTCAAGGCCAGGCTGGACAGAGCTTTGGGCAACATGGTCTTGTGTGAAGTGTCCCTGCCCATGGCAAGGGGTTGGAACTGGATGATCTTAAGGTCCTTTCCAACCCAAACCATTCTCTGATACTGTGATTCTAAAGTAAAAAATAAACACTTGAAATTTACATTTTGCTACATGTATGGTAGCAATTCGCTGATAACAAGGACAGATACACTAAATTTACATTATTAATAATACTTGGACAGAGCTTTGAGCAACCTGGTCTAGTGGAAGGTGTCCCTGCCTGTGGAAGGGGGTTGGCAATGGGTGCGCTTTAAGGCTCCTTCCAACCCAAACCATTCTATGATTCTATAAACCTTACAAAACTGTAACTAAAACCAGATTTCTCCTGCAGAGCGCAAGGCCACTTCTCAAGTAAAGTTACACAAATAGCAACACATCAGAGCAGAGCTCTGTCAGACTGGCAGCACCCGGCTTGCGTTTGATAGTTAACACTCAAGCTCTGCTCTAGCAGCGGGCATAGAACTCGGTGAAGGCCGGGACAGCTCATCCGGGCGATAACGCGAATTGCTGCCGGTTTTCCCGCTGACGAGCTCCACAAATTCAGGTGCCCAGCGGCGCAAAGGCCGGGCCAGGGCAGCCCCGCCGCACCCCGGGACGCTGCGCTCTGCTCGAGGAGGTCACCTCAGCCCCCACACCTCCCTCTCGCCTTTACCTGCTTTCTTGCCGCCGTAGAACTGCGTGTACTCCGCGCATGTGATGTACCTGCCGAGACAGCGCGGTCAGTCACGGACACCCGCACCACGCCGGAGGCCCCAGGACTTCCCCCCGCCCTGCCGAGGCCATCCCCACTCACATCTTATCCTTCTGGTGCTGCCGCTTCCCCATGGCGGCGGCTCAGCGCGGGGCCCCTGCGGACGCAACTGCCCACTCCCCACAGAGACCCCTCTGCGCCCGGACGGCTGCGGCTGCTGCGCCCTTCCGGTGTCGGTGCGGCGGCGAAAGGCCGCGCCGCGGAAACACGGGCGGTGAGCGACGTTCCGGGCCGGGCCGGGCCGGCCAGAAGGGGCGGGAAGCGCGGGAGCTCTGAGGGAGCGGGGCCCCAGGCAGGAGGCTGCAGCACCCCGTAAACGCGTGTGCGGCCGTTTGCCGGCCTGAGGGAGAGCCGGTGCCCCAGGACAGGCAGCGCCCGTTGGGTTCCCCCTCACCGGTGCCAGGGAGGGACGCCGGGAAAGCCCTGTGGGAGTTTTGGCGAGTGAGTAGTAGTGAGAGTGGCTGATCCCCCCCGTGGCCTTCCCCATTTCCCCATCCACACCATTAATAAATAAAATAAACCTGCCCCTACTCCCACACTGAAAGTGCTCCTCGTTGATTTTGCTGCAGGCTTCCTTTGGCAATGTAATAGAGTGTTCATAGAGCTCATCTGAAAAAAAGCAGGTGCTGAATGTAAGCAGAAAATGTTAAAATACCCAATTTAAGAAAAATGTGCAACAATTTAAATGTTTTTTTATTCCTGGCCTGTCAGGCAGTGACAGAGCCTCTCAAGAGAAAACACGCAGAAAAACTTGGAGACAGTCCTTCATAAAGTATTCCAGCACCTCTTGGAAGACTTAATGACAAGGAACTTTCTTTCCCTTTAAATCCTATTACAAAGCGTTCATTACAAGACTGGCATGAACAGCACGAGGCTGAATAAAGGATAGACAGAATCCAAATCTTGCCTTTTGCAAGGATGAAACAGGCACCTGGCTCCTAGCTTTCACTTATCAAACGCCTCTGAAACAATCCATGTTCATTTATTCTTTCCTCATTAAAGCATCTGCTGGGAGCTGCCTGCACATTGTCAACCATCGAGAGTCAAAATCCATGGAATCCAATAGCCAGGCTCCTGCCAACAGTACCAAGCTTTGGACCAGACCCACCCTTTCCCCAGAATGCGGTATGTATATCGTTTTGATCACTTCAGTGGGTTCCATTCCACTCTATGAGGAACACAATGCCTACTGCCATGATTGTAGCCTACTTGGCAACAGCATATGAATCACAGCACTACCACCACTGCTTGTCACAGTACTATCAAGACTTCAGGCTAGAAGTCCGGAGCCGGCACACACAGAATCAAGCTGTGCTACATCTCCCACTGCTTGTTGAAAAGTCACTGATGCCATACTGAAGAACAGCTGCTAAGTCAGTTGTTTTTATTGCTCTTCAAGACACTTCAGTTGATGTGTACATCACATTGCTGTACAAAGTAGTCAGGTGGCCATAGGTCTGGCAGTTGAATACAGAGGCAACAAAAACCTCCAACTGTGGGGGTTTGTTGCCTTAAAGAACACATCCCTCCCGCTAGGATGCAGACAACCATGTAACTGCAGAACTGCCTCTCTGACCTCAGTCCCCTTCAGCTAAAGACCACAGCAGCACAGCTAGTCCTTGTCCTGGCTGAGGGTGAAGGATAGTGTGTTTCTGCTAGAAGTCTGGGGGAGAAATTGCCCTTTCACAAGGGTTTAAATACACTTACTCATTTCTGTACTCATTTTCTTACTCAAAACCATCTCAAAGTAAGGCAATAAATTGAGGCGTACCTGAATAGTTAGGTCTTAGAAAGAACCAACATATACACTCACTTCTTTCCCAGCACCATGTGTACTTTGGGAAAGAAAACAAGTTAATTAATTTGGTTTCAGTGGAATTCCAAAACCACCCCACAAGTGAACTGCTGGCAGGCCACCGGTACTGTTGTGCTGTCACAAAATGCCACACAAGGAACATGGTCGTAACTGCACGAAGTTCACTTCTTGTTGCTGCGCTGACCACTTCGACAGTGGTCAGGGAAGCCCATTTTGCTTTGTGTTGCCTGAGATAATGAGCACTCCCACACAGCTCCTGTTCTTCCAGCTGAGATGTGGCTCCAAGAGAAAATGTAGCTGTCCAGGGAGATCACAAGTACTTGTCTGATCACGCTCCCAGAGGAAAGATCACCCAGACAGTATTATTTATTTCTAGACACATTAACATGATTCAGCCTGCGTTGACATTTCTGGAGATGCTTGTGCCCTTTGTAATAATTCAAGACTTACATTTGTTCTGTTTGTTTTTTAAACCAATGCAATGTTCATTTATTTCTGTACTTACAAAAAGAGTCACCCCACTGTATCCCTTTCCCTCCCCCCTAAAATGCCTTTTACAAACATTTAAAAATTAAAAACCAGATGATGACATGTTAATTTGGTAGAATTATTTTGAAACATAGCTTTTGTAATTAGAGTTAGATTTCCTACAAGATGACTTTGTAGAGACAGCCTGATTATCGGCCAAATAAAATTCCATATTACAAGTTAGCAAATTCTAGTACAAAAATAGTCCATGTGTTAGAACAGCCTCTTATTATTATTATTATATTCACAGGAAAGAGTCTATTGGCTGCATAATACCTTAATATTTATGAAATTTCTTTTTACGTGGCTCATTCATCTAATTTAATATAGTGTTGAGCCTCAATAAATCCTCAGGCAAAAAACCCTAAACAGGGTTAAATATGCTGTTCAGTGTACTCTGAAGTACTGTGCTTTTCACAGGACATCCAAGAAACCCCACAAACAGTTCTCAGCTAGTTTTGATATTAAAATGAGAACCAGATCCAAAAGGACCCCCCTGAAGTACACATCCACGACTTTCCATAGAAACAGAGGCCACAGCTTCGATGGTTTTACTTGGGAAATGGTCTAGCTCATCCACTCATTTTCACAAATCCACTTGTGAGCTTCTTTAAAAACTAAAGCAGGTCACTCCTGGGACCCTTACGGCACTGCCCTCTTCAGGAGTGTCCCTGCTGACCGGGCTCTTGCTCCTCTTCTGTCTCTGGTTAATGCTGTTCAGCAGTTTCTCGTGGACCAGGCCCCGCAGGGAAAATCTGGGTAAATGCTATTTGTCTCTCAAGATGTCTAGCTGCTCTTGATATTCTGTGAAAAGCCTCTGGAAGCGGAGGTTCTGTCCAATTACAGGAAGAAGCTCTTTCAATAGTTCTCTCTTTCGTAAACCCTGCACAAAAACCACAAAAGCATCCTCAGAATGTATTACTTGATAACATGAACATATTGCATAGAGCTGTTTAAGATTTGTGCCCTTTTTCCTGCCTGGAGAGAGCTCTGTATTTTATGTTCTTACCCTGCTTACATGAATCCTAAAATAAAAACTGTCCTTACGTTTATACACTCATGAAGCTGGTGCAGCCTCTGAAGTTGCAGACTTCCCTACTGAGAAGGGAAGACATTTCACTGTCCTGTCACTATTTCAAAGTTGCTGTGTGAAGAATGCAAAGACCTGAACATGCAACTCTGCTCCATCTGCCTGAAACTCAAGACAGCATCAGATCTGAAACTGTGGCAATAAACATTTGTCTATGGTTTCACATGAAATAAATACAAGCGCAGTGCAAGGAGCCCTGCATATGAGATGAGAGCAGAGTAAGGAAATGGTTCCAAGGACAGCAAAAATAATGTGATTCCTACTTTGCCACTAAGTTTAATAATATATTTTCAGTTCTGTTGTCTATCCATGTCCTGTAATTTTCATGGGAAACTCTTCCTCATTGTTTTGTTTAACTGTTATCAGGACTTACCATAACTGTTGATTCCCACTGACTTCCAGCTGAGTAATGGACTGGACCCAGTAAATCCTTGCATAATTCTCGCAAACGATATTCAAACCCTGAATATTATCAGAAATAAAATCACATTCAGAAGCATTTCACTATATACAACCCCTCTACAATGCAATTGACAACATTCAGGAAGGAGTTTAAGTATCTAGAATAAAATAAAGTCAAAAACATTGATTTCTGAAAGAATGTACTGTTCTTCTAACAGCAAATCTTTGGAAAGATAAGATGATTCATAAAGGATTTATTTTAGAATTCCAAAGGGCTTTATTTTAGGTTCTCAAAAACAAAACCACTACTAAAGATAATCTACAATACAGAGAAAAACTGAAGTAGGTCTCAACCTCACTCCCTCCTCCAGCTTTTAAAAGAGCAAAACAAAGAACATTAGAAAACCTCAACAGCCAGAGAACTAATACAAAAGAGGTATCACATGAGCTGGAAAGCCACAAGATGAAAACTAGTGAAGGGGGAAAGTTGTTAGGTTGCATTTCATGGTAATACATGAATTTGGAAAAATGGAGTCCATAGTGAAGAAAATAAAAAGTCCTTCTGATACATTAAAATATTACTAAACTAGAAGAGAAATCTCAACCTTTAGCAAAAGAGCTTACAACTAAAATAAAATGCACTAAATTAATATGGATTAGTTAAAAAAAAAGGTAAAGAGAAAACCTTTAATAAAACCACACACAGTTTCCAGGCCAGCTCTATTCACCCAAAAATCAGAGGGGAGAATTCCCTTGCAAGTAACTAAGTCATCAGTTCAGGAGTAACTTGCCAAAGTATAACAGATTGAATATTTTAAGGGATTAGAATTCACTAAATGTTGAAATCATCAGAGGAATAAAGGGTCAATAATAGGATATACAATTTTCAAATTTAGCAGACCTAGGATAGCAATACATGTGTGGCAAAGCAGAATGTGCAGTGACATCCAATGTATACACGCATGCAAGGCTGTGACATCAGTGCAGCGCAAGATGAACCCTGCACACACAATAGAGATTCCTAATTAGTGAAGACTTTAAAAAGTGTAACTGTCTCTTCAGTATATGTATGACCCAAGAAGAACATTTTAATTTCAACCAGAGAATCACATGCAGTTTATCAAGCTCTTTTGTTAAATAAGGGGTGAAAAGGCAAGAATCAATGACTTGAATTTTAATTCTACCAACACCTATTAGGTGGCCTAACATGAACCACTTAGCTCCCCTCTATGTAAAATGATTACTCATGATGAGGAATAAGGCTGTATTAATCCAATGGGAACTACAAAATTTGGAATGCTGGCAAGTGGAGACACAGAGATCTTTAGAATCCAAGAAGCATAAAGTCAGTTGGTTAACCTTATTTAATATAATAGCGTAGAGATATAATGTATTCAAATATAAAACAGACACAAGTACTTTTCTTGCAGGTTTCTCTCCTCACAGAATTTAACCTGTGGAGCTCACCAGTACAGGCTGTTCAAATTTTAGAATGTAAGAAACCAGTATAAAGTGCAAGTAACACAAGCAAATTCTCCGCAGTTTCACATGCTCTGGTACAAAGTGTCAGAAACCAAGCAGCTCTTCCATTTCACATCAGGCAGCGATCATCAGTTGCCTGAGGAACGTTACATGTGGGTATGTGCTGGTTCCTCCGAAACATCCGTAGTTGCTGCCAGATAATACATATGATGTCTGACAGGCACCTGGACTTTTCTTACAATGCAGTTCCTACTGCTGAAGTCCACAGATGGCACTGTTTCCCCAGACCATGATCTGTTCACATTGTGTCAAAATAGGATTCCTGAGTATTGAGCACTGCAGGAAGCAAATGCACTTCAGCAGCTTGTTTTGGTTTTAAGTAAACACTGAGTCCAGAAGCCAAGTGCTGAAAGGAGAACATTAAGTGCAATCGTACATATAAAGCGTTTCTTAAGTCTACCAAAGCTGCAAAGAAGTAACACAGCATGGCAGATCTCACCTTCATTAACTAGGTACCGTGCATAGATAAGGAGCCAGTGGCGATATTCGTGACTGGATTGTAAGATAAGTGCTGCTGCGATCTGGTTCTCCAGGTATGCAAGTGTTGTTTCTTGTTGCACTAAATGAGGCATGGAGAACAATCTTGCAGCTTGCCTTCCTGAACTACAAAACGAAAAAATTAGCATGCCAGCCATAAAATCAGATACTATTAAATTCACTTAAATTAAATACTTAAATTCAGTTTAAGGAATAGATATTTTGCACAAGCTATTCTACGCTTATCTTTCAGAGGCATTTGGTGCTTCCAGGGTTCAAGCTTTTAATGACAAAGGCAGCACTTCATGGCAAACTGCCTTCACCACCAACTGGACCATTTACAAGTTTCAAGGTCCACAGAGGGTTTTCTGCCTCCTGTTCTTTTCCTCTTCCTTGCATTTGTCTTCTCTTTAAAAACACATGGTTATCAGCAAACAAGTATTGCCATAGGAAGGCTAATTTGGAAAATAAGTAACCCATTATTTAATTTTTGAAAACAAAAAAGCTAATTTTTCAGTCTGATTATTTTCTCTTTCTCAAAAAGAGAATGCTCTTTGTTTGCATTTCAGATATTTCTCGCAGTTAATTCCCCTTCCCCTCCAAGAGAACAGCAATCAAATTATACAACTCTCCACAGTTTCTCTCACTAGAAAAAATAACCTCTGATGTGAAGGACAGAAAGAGCACAGAAATCTGCCTGAGAAATCAAATTCAAATCCAGGTGAGGATAGGCCATTAAATTACCTACAGGAGTCTGCTCTGGCTCACACAATTCCCTAGTGGTACTTTCAGATGTTAAAACTATGCATTAGATGACTAATCAATCACACAACTTTCTCAGACTTCACCAAATAGATCCCTTGAGGATAACTGAACTACTCAAAATTTGTAGGCCTATTCCAGAAAGCTGGTAAACTAAAAATTAAAATGTAAAACAAAGTCAGTTTGGCTAATCAGAATATTGCAGCATCAAATACTTTACCCATCCAATAAAGAGAACCTTAAAATGATTAGGTTTAGAGGATGCTTTCCTGCACCTCAAGCAATCTCGAAATAACATTATGATACAGACTATAAATGTGCAAAAGTTGTAAAAAAACTCCAACACTGTATGAGCTCCTGATAATTTCAGAGCCATTAGCATCTTAAAAATTAACTCACTGATTCAACTACATGAATAAATAATAGGAAAAGAGAGAGAAACATGCTGATCAAATGAAGCAAGTAAGTGCGTACTTTGACGTTCGTCCCTGTATTACAGCTAAAGGCCCAGAACACAGCATGGCTTCTTGGGATGGTAAACTATTCCTGAAGTCTGCACATTGTGCTAGAGAGTCCTGTTTGTCGGAAACAAGATTCCTGAAAAAAAAAAAGCAAACAAACAAAACACAAGTTTGAGGAGAGCAGGCAATGGTACCAGGGGATCCAGCTCTATTCTGACTCAAAGCCCAATTTGTATTTTCACAGATAACCATAAAAGTATCACTAAGGTGCCCAACTGTTCCCACTCCATGTCCAAGTTCTGCTTGTGCTGTCATGGAAATGTCCCTCCCATCTACAACATTAATTGTGTAATAAAATTTAGCACTAGTTTTGAGGAAAATGAACTTTCTACTTGCCATTCTATGTCTATTAAGAAGTCATGCCCCAGAACAAAGACTGGAGTAAACACAGGTAATGACTTTAACAACTTGATTTTGCTTCATGTCAGGTCCCCACACCAACCAGACAAGTCATCACAGATCACAGGCATTGACAGTCTTTCCCATACATTACAGCTATTCCTTCCTATGGAGGAAGTTGACAGTTAACAGCTGGCATTTCCACACCTAATCGAGGGTATCATTTGCACTGGTTTGAGATGCCAAGAGAATCAGTGGCTCAAGCCAATGCTAAGTTTAGATCTCCAGACAGCTCAGAGGAAAAATGGCACAAATATTTAAAATACCCTTTACTGCTTTATCATGTTTAAATTTGTATGATGACTAAAGGGATTGCTCTTTATATATCCCCAAAGCTGTGGTGCAGACAAAAGAAATTATAGCAAATTCAGAGTTTTGGCCAAGAGTCTGTCCTCTGCTCCTTATTGATGGGGAGAATTTCTACATAATTTCTCAGTTTATCTAAAGAACAAATAAGGTGTTTTTTCTTTTCCAGAGCATTCACATCAAGTAGTGACTAATTTCAATTATTCTAAGGAAAAGTTAAAACAATAAGCCCTTTCATAAAGCACGCTCATTACATTAAGTGCACCTCTTACATTAAGACTGAAGTATGGGTTTTTTTTTCCCCTCCTGGAAAGACAACAAAGAATCTGTTTTCGAAAGATACTGTAAATAATTTAACCATGGCAAAATTTTTAATGGGACTTTATGCCTTGACAGAAGTAAGAGAATCCATGGAGATAGCCCACCTGATACCCAGTAAGGCACAGATTCTTTTGTAGCCTTTCCTCGTGTTTAGGACACCAGTAATGACTCTTCATGGGGATTCTCTAAGCTATAATGATTTCTTCACTCTTCCCAGACTTGACTTACTATTTTCATAAAACTTTTTAATGTTGAAGACAGAGCTCTCTTCAAACTTGGCTTGTCATCAGATACAATAAAAAGAATTCAAGGAGTTATGGCAAAATCATCGCCAACTGCTCAACAGATTCAACTGATGTATATCAGCAAAAGTATATATAGGTGTATGTCAATAAGTAAGATTATGTACCATGTAGGAAAGAGTGATAATGCTGTAGAGTAGCTTTTAAATTTTTTTAATGTTACTTTAACCATACCAAATCTTAAAAATATAAAAAGTCTAGACATGCAATAGTGAACCAACACAAAACTAAGCCTGGTGTGTGACCCTACTCAGACTAAACCTTCAAAATACGGAGTGAAACAGAATACACATCTGTTCAGCTAAGTTTTAAAAGCAGGAAATAATACATAACTTACCACGTAGAAAGAGAAGGATTAAAACAATATGCCTTTCCATCAGACATGCTCATTACAGGTATACCATGCTGAGTCAGCAAGATCTGAGAGACAGTTGCATCGCTTCCTACAAGTCAAATAGGACCAAAGTTCTTCTTTTGGAGTCTTTCATAATATTTGTAACAGTAAAAAACACTATCCACCATTAATTATCAGTCATAGCAACCAACAGAAAAAGGTTCAATGTTATTCTCAAGCACTGAGAGCAAGGTTGAGACACAAGATCATGGTGGTAAGCACCAGGCTCAGTGCAACAGCATTAAAATCACACTTTTGCAAAATATATTATCAATCTTGAGGCTGCAATTTATGCAGAACATGGGCGTTATTGGAGATGTTCTCCATATCCAGGGGCAATCTTCAGTAATTCTGCCAGGTCTTCTGTAACCCAAGAAGCCTTTTTTTTTCCCATTAAGTAAAAATTCTAAACCCCAGCATACTTAGAAAAGCATACTCTCTAAGCATAAATAGGATCGCTGGATACTTGCATTTCCCAGCATATTCCAGGCCCAGGGTTTGTGCATGTAACTTTAACAAATACCTTTGCAAACTGCTAGTACAACTACTTCTCTAAGTAGTTTGAACTAGTGCTTTATGAATGAAAGCTAAAACAGAAGCTGCTAAGCTCCGAGATACTGCTTTTTTTGACAATTTCTGTTGTGCCAGATACTGGCAATGATTGGAACTGAAGATTTTGAGATAATGAATCAGAAGATAATCAACTGCAGTTCATTGTTAAAGTAATAAACATGCAAAGTACACTCAGAGAAATTGTTGTAATAGCAGATTTACATTAAATATTTTGTGATCTTCACAACACTGAATTTTCATATTCAGAAGCAATTCAGAATATAAGCTACAGAATCTTGTAGAAGACTGTTACCCATTAATATTCTCATCTCAGTTATTTCTGTAGTATTTCAACATTGCCAGTGACTTCCCTTCATTACACAATAATGAAGGAAAATCATTTGTTTAGGCTTTTCAGGTTTCATAAGATTCCAGCAGATTCATAAATGGCACTAAATAGTACAGGTGGGCTCAAAGGTTGGTAACTAAATGACCCTTCTTATTACCTGAAAATATCGTTTGCAAAGACTCATCTCTAACAATGACGGTCTGCTTGTGAACATCCCTGGAAAAGACAAAAGGACAAGTCTGCAGTTTACAAACAACTGAAAGCTCCAAAATCATTTAAAACACACACATACACACACACACAAACACACACACAACTTTGTCAGCATTCATGACAAAGCGGGGTTTTGGGGGGAGTTTGCTTGGGCTTTTTTTGTTTTGACATTTTCTTCATTGCTTCAACAAATTTATTTTGGCAAACTCAAACCCCTTAAGGCAAGACAGAAGTCAATAGCAGAGAATAATGTTTATAGCTCTTTATCAGGAAACCTCATTACAGCTAAGCAAACACAAAGGATCCAAATAACTCCTTTAGGAGCTCTGACTTGCATGAGACATTAGATTAAATTCAACAACTGTAAACAAGTTACTGCAGTTTTTATATTGGTATCTTGAAGATGGCTAGAGTACTTCTAACTCTGGAACTCATATTGGCAAAATATGATTGTATTTGGAAGTATCCATATTTCTCCTTTCCCTCCTCCTTAATCTAGTCCATATGCATGGCAAGTCTGTCCTAGGGAGGCTGTTTACACTAGTAACTTCAAGCTGATCCTTTATCTTCCTTCTAAAATCAAAATCATGGACTGTTCTAGAACAGAGAAGAAACAAGATTCGAGTCCTGCTCAGTTAACTTTTCATGTTGTATCCAGAAGTAGACTTGCGTTCAGACCTGATGTGGTTTAAGCCTCAGTTTCAACAGCAATGCATGGACACAACTGGTTAGTTACTACAGAAATCAGGCCAGACAGCTGCTGCAGCCTAACATGGTACTTACCAAACAGAGAGCGTAGCAGCAGTGGTGAGAGCCATGACGTAAGAACCTGTGCAATGTAGGGTGGAAATGGGTGTATTCAATATAATAGGAGGAAGAAGGCGACGACCACAAGCTGAAAATACTGACAATGTTCGTTTCTCACAGGCTACACTTACAATCTCACTGAAAGAAAGAAAGAATAAAACCACCACATTTTGTCAAATGCAAGTAGCATGGAACCAGACTGATTTCTTAAGTTATCATACAACTTGGGCTAATTCCTTAAATGGTAACTATTACAGCTCTTAAACTAATTATAATGTTGATCATCCAAGGAGATGGGCAAGAGAAGGTCTGCAGGTAGAGGCCAAGAGCCCATGAGGCATAATTGTAAAGATTTTGAGTATACACAAGATATTCTTCAGGCCTGTACTTGTATTTAGCTTTAAAATCATCTTCTTTTTCAGACTTGGACATGGCTCTGGCTTAAACTCTGAGGTTGAACTAAGCAAAGTTGAAAAAAATGAAGGGAAAAAAATAGCAAAAGACTCAGGAAAATATTTTCATATTACAGAACATCCCATTTCAAATTTTTCATTTTTAGTAGCTAAGTTAATCAACTTTAATGAAGAAATATAAAGGAGAAATGTAAATATACAGGAAAAGAGTTGTAACTGGCTAGCTTTAAGACAGAACTAATACTTGGAATGAAATGGGTCTAAAGACTAAACGCAGTATATATTTTTATCCACAACACATTTATTATGAAAGATTGTGTAAGATTCACAGCGGGGAGTGATAAAACCAGCAAATAGCAACAGTCAACAGAAATAAGTCAGAATCCCTACAAAAATCTCCACAGGGTAGAAGTTTAAGAGCATCAATGTATTAGACCAGGTTAGCTAGAAGAGAAATATGGTATTTTGAGCCAAGAATGAAGAATCACAAAAATCCCTAAAAGAAGTGATCCAGTTAATCAACTATTCTAAATAAGTAGATGAGAATATCTTTAAAGCCTGTACTTATTTGTAAATATATGGGTTTAGGCATAACTTTCTGTAAAGTGTACTTTTGTACCCCTAGAAATGTCTTCTGGCCTTCAGAACCATCTTCTTCCACAATATACTCTTACCAGCTTCCTGCTACAGTGAGAATTCGACTGGTGAGGACTGTCTCCCATTCCTTTCCTTCTCGATTACACTTTAACCTGCTCAACTTTGAACCTCCCACAGTGGTTATTTCATTCTCCACTTCAAGGTACATTGATGGATCTGAACATACCTGAAATACAAAAAACAAAATACCTTTCAGAATAGGAAAAGAGCTACGAAATACTACAATTGGATCCAAAACAATCAAAAATTATGGAATCAGTGAGGTTGGAAAAGACCTTTAAGATCAACAGGTCCAACCTTTACCCCAGCACTGCCAAGTCCACCACCAACCCATGTCACTAAGGGTCTTGTACATGATTTTTGAACACTCCCACAGACAGTGATTCCACACTGCCCTGGGCAGCCTGTTCCAATGCCTGATCACCCTCTTGGTGAAGAAATTTTTCCTAATAGCCAATCTAAACCTTCCTTGGCACGGGTTGAAGCTGTTACCTCTTGTTCTATCGCTTGTTACTTGGGAAGAGAGACCAACCACCTCCTCTCTCCATCCTCCTTTCAGGTACTTACAGAGACCATTAAGGTCTCCCCTGAGCCTTCTCTTCTCCAGACTAAATAACCTCAGTTCCCTCAACTGCTCCCCACAGGACTTGTTCTCTAGACTCTTCACCAGCTTCATTGCCCTCCTCTGGGGACTCAGTACCCTGAGAATGGCTGGCCTGACTATTAACGACTGAGGCAAAGGCAGCATTAAGTACCTCACAGCCTTTTCCTCATCCTTGGTCTATAGGTTTCCCCTAGTATCCAGTAAAGGATGGAGGTTCTCCTTGGCCCTCCTTTCATTGCTAATATATTTGTGAAAATATTTATTATCTTTTATAGCAATGGCCAGATTAAGTTCCAGCTGTGTCTTTCCCTTTCTAATTTTCTCCCTGCATAACCTAACGACATCCTTGTACTCCTCAAGGGTCAATAAGTTCCATCTTCCACAGGTTCTCTTTCTTTTCTTCCTGAGTTCCAGCACTATCTCCCTGTTCAGCCAGGCTGGTCTCTTCCCCACTGGTTCTGGTTTTGGCACACAGAGACTGCCTGCTCCTGTGCCTTGAAGATGTCATTCTTGAGGAGTGTCCAGCCTTCCTGGACCCCTCTGTCCTTCAGTACTGTTTCCCAAGGGATTCTCCCAACCAGTGTCCTGAACAGGTCAAAGTCAGCCCTCCGAAAGTCTAATGCTGTCATTAAGTACAGATAAGCATGGTATTCTCTGTTTAAAGTGCCTTCAAAAGGTACTGTGGTACTTCAAAAGAAGCAAACCTCTAATATCAGTCTTGGTTAGAACACAAATAATTCTTTGTATTCAGAGCATAAGGATAAAGAAAGGTTGTGCTAGTCTGTGCATCCTAATTAAGGGCACCAGATCAAGTCTGGATGTGCCCAGTCTCCCTGCAATCTTGCAATTAGAACCACACTAGCACAACCTAAACAGGCAGAATAATTATTTCATAAATGCCTAAAGTAAACCTATTTGCCAGTCTCTTCAGCTGTAGAGTCCCTCCAGAGAGCTGTCTCTCATTCTTCTTCTTCAGCAGTGTACTACCAACACAACTGTAACAGTGCAGCAGTTACTCCCATTGGAGACTCTGATCTTTACAACACACTTTGCTTAACCAGGAGGAGGGAATGATGAACCAGTAGTATTCCTCTTTGAACTTTTGCTAGTTCAGAAGTGTCTTATTCTTCGCCGATTTGCCATTAACTTTTCTCATATAGACATATTCTTAGAAGCTGAAGTATACCATCTTGCTTGAACAAATATACATATTCAAATGTTAATTTAACAAAGGATCTGAATAATTAATGATATTTTTAAAAGCAGGTTATTTTAAGTATTAAGCTTTTTCTCCTTATAGTCCACTTACTTGCAAAGTAAACGACTTCTGTGGGATTGGGGTTGGCAGTTTAAGTGCTAATGCTGGAGCAGAAATGCAAGCAGTATCCTTCTCAGAGGCCAGTGTAGCTGGGGACTGGAAGAAGAAATTGCAGAAGTAATTTTTTCCATTAAAAAAGGTTAAACCGAAGATACTCTATAGTACAGATTGATCTGAAAGATACTTTTAAAAATTCCAAATAATGCCAATTGCAAATATTAATCTTTTCCCAATTATTTGTATAAATACAAGGGTTTTAATATAGCTTCTAAGAATAAAAAAAAAAAACAAAAACAAACAACAAAAACCAAAACTAGATGTGGTGAGGTTTTTTTATCTCCCCCATCCCCTTTTCAGCTGCAATTAGTTAATGGGAATTCTGCTATACTGCATGGAAAAGCTAAGCTCCAAATACTGAAAACAGAGGGATCTATATGGCCTAAAATGATGGAAACTCTATTGGAACTTAGTAATTCACAGTTCTAAGGAAATGCGTAACCATTTAAGTCATCATATCCAAGTCACACTCTTGTGCTTGGGCCACTCTCCGCCAATGAACACCAAAACCTGATGCCATTGCATTTTATTCTATACAGTCATTTGGCAGGCTACCACTACTTGGCATGCTGGTACCACTTCCTAAGTAGCTGCATATTTATATAAAGGATGGACACATTTGCCTCACCATGTGCATCTGCTTTTCTAAATCTTAAATTTTAGTAAGAGTTAAGTTTAAAGGCAAGGAAGAGGGATGGCTAAAAATTGTGAGGGACTGATGCAACTTGTGTTTCTCTGACTCGATGGAACAAGTCAACGTGGTACCAACTTTATCAAATGAACACTGAAAGCCACAATTAATCTTATTTATTTCACCTGAACAGTTAAAGTTACTGGTACAAGTCTAGAGTCTTTCCGAGGCCTTCCTTTTTTCTTCTTTTCTACTGTTTCTCCCTCAAGTTCCAGTTTCCGTTTGGGTGCACTGAGTGGTTTAGCAGCTGGAATCTTCTCTTCGCTGTCACTGCTGCTCTCCAGAATGTCCTTGGGTTTACCGTCTTTAATTAAATTCTGATCCTTGAGTCTGAGCAAGTAAAAAAACATATTTCATGTTTTATATAAGCTGATTCCAAAGGCTGCACATACCATATGTATGTATTCTTGCAGATAAATTTTAGCTAGCTTTAAGTGTACTTCAAAATGCACAAAGCCAAGAGAAGGAAGCCAAAGAGGCTTGGCAAATCCCCTGCCAAAGCACAGTGTGCAATATATATGTAAACTGATCAGGCATATTCTCTCCTTTAAGAAAAATAAATAATCAAGCTAGCAGTTAGCTACTGGATTAAGCTGCAAGTAACTTTATTTTAGCATTCAGTTCCAATTACAACCAGATCTCTTCCCCTGGGTTGATACAAATAATTCAGCTCTCTGTAAGATGCGAGATTAGTTTATCTTTTTCTCTCCAGCAGACATTGCACTTTCTGCTTACTCATGCAGAACTTCATTTGTCATTCTGCTGTCTATCCCCAAAAGTTAGAGTCATAAAATCATTAGGGTTGGAAAGGACCTTAAGATCAGTTGTCCTATTCAGTTCTGACTACTGTAAGATCATATCTGTAAACCATGTAAATGACTTCACTGCTCCATTTTCCATTTCAGAAATACAATATAACTAAAGTAAAAATCCCTGTGAACTCTTTTGTTAACCATTACACCCTAAAATACACCACGCTCTCCCCATTCCCTCCCCCATAACTGGTTATTAACGCACTACAATATTTTGCCACATTTATTCCATAAACACTCAGCTTCCTAGAAACACCTTGCACAATCCAAACTTTTTCTCTTTGGCATCTGAATTATGCCAAACAATACACTTCTATCCATACTTTACTGACACACTAGAAGCAATTATGAGAGTAATTTAACACAGCATTTCTTCTGCATCATATGGTTAAACCCTTTGACATAAAAATATTGAGGTGTTTAGTAAAAACACCTTTTATTGGTAACAAGTTGGGGAATCACATACTACTTTCTCAAGACTGCTATTGTTATTATCGTTTGTCCTGGTGCAGCAGGAATACTTCTGCCGTAACACACTGTGTCACCAAACAAAGGCTGCCTTTTGTTTTTTAACTCGTGGATCCAGAGCCAAACCCCCTTAAAATCAAAGTGTCCTCTCTGCACACCTTCAAGGCATAAAACAAATACAACTGCAGCAGTGATGATTCTAAACTGTCTGCAGGTATATATGGTAATTTACCATGAAGTAAATCTCACTCTTGTACAGAGATGCAGGCTGGCTATTTTTGTCTTCTAAAGAGCACAGATGCATGCAGCCACACAGAGGCACACACACACACAGAGCCTCTTGTAACAAGCATTTTAACTCGGAATATTTGAAGAGTCTGCCTGTTCCCAAATGTCAGAGACAAATGTACAAAGGGATAATGCCAGCAAAGCATTTACCTATTTGCAGCTGTTCTCTTCCTTCCAGTTGTGGAAGAGACCCAAGACAATTTCTAGAGTGCCAGTACCATGACATCTACACCACAGAGAATCAGCGTTTTAACTCTCTGCATTACTACCCCGCAACAGCCCCCTCAGCTAGGTCTTACCTGTCCACAACAGTCTGATTTGTATTTGTTACAACAGCAGTCCCTGAGGTGGCTTTGGATCGTTCCGTAAATCTAGAATCAAATGCTTTCATAGGTTCAATCTTGGATGGAGTTGTCAAGACAGAGGAAGATGATGCAGGAGGAGCAGCTGAGGCAGAGGTAGCATTTACACTGTCAATAAAAGTGACAGGAAAACAAAGTTTGTAAGGAATCTAGTACTGGTAATCTGCACTGCTCATAACTAGCTAGCATTCATTACACTGGCTAGAAACCATATTGAAAATCTTTCATTCAAGTACACACATGAATTATTGTGAGATTTTTCCCCTTTCATGCATCAGTATCTCACAAGCTTTGTCTGCTCTCAAAAGCTGTTTATGTACATCTCAGACCTAAGAGCTTCATGTGGCTACGTAGATATATCTAGATTAAAAGACCCTAATTCATTCATTATGTATTTTTAATTCAGGAATGAAATTAATACTTTGAGCTGCTACTTATACACCCAAAGGGAAAGGATCACTATTTTACATGATATCTGGGGTTTTACCCTTTGTTCAGGTTACCAAATACTTTCCATCACAAGATTATATTCCACTGTTTATCAACCAAACAGTTTGGGCTGGAACAATTCATGCCGGGTTTTGATTTTGTTAATGAAGAATCCAAAATAATTATTAGGCATTTCCAAGCATAACCCTAAGGCAAAGGAATGTGTCTTCCCCACATTAAAGCATTCCAGGGATCTGTGATTTGAATAGCTGTTTACTTTAGAGATTTTTCAATTCATTCAGAGAATGAATTGCAAGAAAGAATGTCTCTAAGACAACTGATGGTCGTACTAAAAAGCTGTTAGAATTCCAATTTCCAAAGAAAAGGAAACTTTATAGTTTAATCTGTCAATCATTTCTCACAGTCTACCCACTCCTTCTTTAATCTGTGGCCAATTTCGACTAAATGTGATGAAGTGGTAGAGGTTCCAATGACATTGTGCTCTTCAAAATGCTGTAAAAATACATTGCGGAGGAGAGACCAAGTCAGTGTTACCACTAAAGGAAAAGCAAATAATTAATTAGACAGGCACAGTGGCCAATCAGCATACGCACACTGACAAGTCAACGTCACTGTGCTCTGATGGGGTCTCTACAGGAAAGAAGCACTACCAGGTTTGAAAAGAGGAGATCTACAAGCCAGCAGTTGACAGAAAGCAGACTTCCTTAGTTCCACTGCTGGAAAACCTTCTATTATTTACGACTAGCCACCCAGTAACCTATAAGCACGTCCCTTTCTTAGAGCATTAGCAATCAGCTGCATACCTCATTGCACTGAAGATCATTTCCAGAACTATGCATATTGATTCATTCATTACCGATTTATCATGATTTGAAGTAACCAGATACTAATAATACCTGGATGTTTTCAGGAATGTCAGATTCCTGAAGTGTTACAGTAAGGAAGCCCCTTTAATAATTGCATGTTTACAGAACTGTAAACAAGATTTAAACTAAACAGAGTCATGTAAGTGAAAAACAAAACTGCACATACTGACCCATCTTTATTGGCTGCATCATCTGTTGACTTTATACTGGCTGCTGTTGGCTCTACAGAAGGCTTTGAAGTATTAAGGGAATTTGCTGCATTAGACTCTAATGACATGAGCTGCTGGTTACTTTGAGAAGACATCATTGAGCCACACAGAGATCCAGATATTGGGATGCTATTGAAAAATGCCGTAGAAAAATCCCTAAACAAAAAGACAACAAATGTACTTACAGAAAACGCTTTTAAAATCATTGAAAAATAATAGTTTTAACTATTTATTCCATTCTTCTGTTCTCCACGTGTGGATACTCATAGACAACATAAATAAATGACCAATGCCTAACTTTCCAGAGTTGTTTCTCACATACAGATGACACTAAAGCCACTAATAACGTAGACAGGAGCATGCAATACATTATTGCTCACTCATCTATAAGGGCAGATAAGGAGAACTAGCCTTAGCTATAAGATCTCAGTTCTAATAGATAAGAGAACACAGGTCAAAACTATATTCTGTAAACAGACATAAGGTATTTCTAGCAAGTGCTTTAAGATGCCCTAAGACTAAAGTAAGTCACAATTGGGAGTTTGCATCAGAATAAAGAGAACAAAGATAAAAAGGTGAAGAAGGATTTAAAAGATGACTTCTAAACATACCCAGTGTCCAGCTGAGCTATGCAGAGAGGTGTGATCCTTCTCCGACCATCTGCTGTCCGTGTTTCAACTTGTTTTTTTAAGAGATTCTGTTAGGAAATATATTTGATTGTAATTTCTGATAGATAGGAAATGCTTTTTTCTTTTTGTTTTATCCAACTGACAACCACAGGCATATTAGGCTGAAAGTTGTTCCTCAACTAAGAATATATTAACAGAGGTTATTTTCCCTATTGTCTTCCAAACATACTCTGACTGCATAAATAGAATCAATCTTCGTTTTTATTAATATAAGTGTATTTTAATACCACAACTTTTTTTTTTTTAAAACCAGTAACAGGTGTTTTTTAAGTAGAAGTTCAATAGACTACAAAGTACACCAGAATTCTGTTTACTGCTCTCTGGCTGTACCATAATATACATTGTTTTTAATTTAAATACACACATTTCCAATCCTGGACCTATCCATCTGTAGAAAAAGCATTTGTGGATCATGTAATCTGCTTTCCACATTAAGAGAGCCAAGTTCAAAATATTCTCATCTGTGTGCATTGAATTCTTCATTAGAACTTGTGTTCTGTGTTTAGGAGAGAATTAAATAATGCTTTCAACCTCCTTCATTGAGAAACTGAAGCACAGTTCTACAGTTTGACTGTTACTACCTACCTTTGGTTTCCTTTCTGCACACCCATTTTTAGCACCCATGACAGAAATACCCACAAGCCTTTTTCCACAATAGCGTTACTTCTGCTTAAAAGCTTTTTAACTTTTCAACAAGTCCCAGTAATGTCACATGGACCATTCATGGGTTGAAAGGTGCCATTCAACACATACAAGGAAGCAGAAGCTGATTTTATCATTTATCATTTTATAATAAAAATCAAACTGCTTGGTACGTGACCCTATAAAGTGACTGCCCAAGAACACCTACCTTCCTTATGTCCTCTAAACTCTCCCCATTAACCATGCTTGCCACTTTGGGAGCCGCTGTCCCAGTCCCAGATGCTTCCCTAATTGACGCATTCTTCTGGTCCCCCTGCTGCTGTTGCTGCCTCTGTTGGTACTTGAGCATCTCTGGATTCTCAATAATGGTGGTAGACAACTGAGCTTCAGTCATTATAGCTAGGCTTTTGCCATAGGTGGACTGATGAATGTTGCTCTGTGGGCATCAAACATATCACACAGAAGAGTGACTACGACTGTGTCCCAGGTTCAGCGCTGAAACCACAACAGACTGCTACCATGATGTCGCTGACTGTGTATGATAGCATCGTAATACTGTAATGGAACCCATAAAATGCAAATGCCCTCTTTATCGTTTATACATTTATATTTTAAACACTACTTTATATTTTCACCTAATGCTAAATCAATACACAAAATAATTGGAATTCAAAGCTTTAGTTGCTAAATAGCAATGAGAGGAAAAAACAGCCAACAGCAATCAGTTTAAAAAGACTTGAACATATGCAAGTCAAAGAGTAATTTTAAAGTGTTTTGAAGCACCCACTCCCTGTTTCCTTGGCCAAATAATTACATCAACTGTATAATGATGTGTAAGCAGGTGATGTTTTCCAAATAGACTTTCTTTCCAGAATAGAAACTAATATCACAGATTCATTTCTTGACTACTCTTTATTAACGATTTGTAAAGTACACAAGAACACATTTTTCTGTAATATGGAAATCAGTCACTACATACTTCTATAAATAGTTCAGTATCTTAATTGCATCAATACATCCCTTAAATATGATCACAGAATCTCTGAGTGCTTACTGTACCTTTTCCTCCTCACTGAGTGGATCTCCAAGTTCATCCTGGGAAAAGTCCAAAAATGCCACTGATCCATCCATGGAACACACCAGGATACCAAGTCCATTAAGGGTCCTGAAGGAAATACAGGTTCATTTTTATTTTCAGTCTCTTTCATTGATGCAAAGGGGCAATACAATAAATTGTTCAACAAAATTCTTAGTAATAAGATTTATTATCACAGCAACTACTGATAAAACCAAACAAGTGGGGCAGTAAAGAGACAGAATGATGGACAGCAGGAGTCCATGTACCAATATTCCTTTGGAGGCCACACGCAAAAAGGTAGAAGCAGAACCATACAGCTGTCCATGGCATGACTAGCACCATGAAAACCTGTCTGTAGGGGTAAAATAGAATAGTGTTCACAGGGAACAGTGAAAGGAAACTATAAATGTATTTGCTTCAAAAGATGTAGAATATCTTTCTGTTAATGGAACTGGGTGAAGAAAGGGGCCTTCAGCAGATAAGCAATCGATATACTTCTTTAAAGACCCCTAAACTGACGTTTGTGGCCCATGAAGATGAAGTTTCATCACACATAGGCAACAAGTTACAGACAGCCCACTTTAAAGAGTTTACAGTCCAAATAAACAAGATAGGAAGGAGAAGTGAGACTACAGAAGCAGCAGCTCTACAAGTTGGGTAAATGCCTCTTCTCCATCATCATTATCTGAAGTGACAGCAATAAGAAAGCAAGCTGTGCATATGAGCAGTCCAAACAACTCTGTTAGGCGAGAACATATGTTTGGTTTTGTTATTGTTCATTATTTGCATTTTTAAGCAAACTGCACATGTTCTTCTATGTGAAGATATATTATAACCCTCATCTGGAGGTCTCAAAATGTTTTCCTGATGGAAAAGAGAAAGGAGAAACTATACATTCTAGTCTTAAAGAAATGGTAACCTTCTGTTAAAACCTATCACTGCACATTTGAAAAAAAAAAAACAGTACTTGCTGAGTTTTGACCAATAACCCCATAACTTCCAATTACAGAGCTCATAGAGATGGCAACACAGTGGTATACAGATGACTTGTTAAAGAGAATGGAAAAGGAAGGGAAGCAAGTACAACTCTTAAGTCCTGTACAAACTAGTCCGGCAAGGCTTAGAAATATATTCCATGCATCATGGCTATAGGTGTTTGAAAACACCTTTTTTTTGTGTGCTGGCTGATGGCACCACATCCAGAGAAGCTGGCCTCAGCACCATGTGACAGGTTAACCAATATTAGTCCAAGTTAGAAAATGGTAATATCTTGTTGAGAGTTCTCTGCTTGCTTTGCAGACAAAATTGCTGAGCTCCTATTGACCTCTGGCTCCAAGCAATTGTTCCATGAAAACATAATCATGTTCAGATATTATGATGATGCATCCAAGTCTGAAACTCTAAAATAGAAATGAGACAGCTATAACAATAGTATCAGATTTCTCTGCATTTACTCAGTCTGTTTTCAGAATGGAGCATGTTTCTGGGAACATTCCATATTACTGACATTTTAGCCATCCATTTCAATTTGTAAACAGGATATAAAATAAGTTTCCTGATGATCCTTTGTCTCTCCAATATCCTACAGAACCATTTCCTCAGAAATTGCAAAATGTTAACCAGCTATTACTGCCAATGGCTTTACACCACGAAAAATGCGCAAACTGCAGATGGAGAAATAAAATAAAACACATTACAGAAAGGCAAAGCTATTCAAAGCTATTGTACTACAACAATAGCAGCGCTTCTCATGAAATATTCCATTTACTGGCTTTCTAGCCTTAATCTATTAATGAAAGAAAAATATTTTGGTTTTGAAAACTTTTTATCATGCTTCACTGAGCTTCATGGCAAACCCCACAGGGCACACAGAAAACAAGTTGTTATACAATTGTAAGCTTTAACATTTACAGCAAAAACCCACCAAAACTGTTAAAGCTCTTAAGACCACCCATGTCATCAGCTGCGTGTCTGTCATGAAAAAAATACTAGTCTTTTCTTGTACAGAATCCTTAACCATGTAAATCACCTGACGTATAGGTGCACAGTGTGTTTTTAATGCCACTTACTGAGTGGTCTCAGGGTTATTTCTCCCTTACTATTTACTTGCAGTGAATATGCAGTCTATAACTAGAGACTTCTGCCTTTTTATGACCAGGCCTTAGGAAGAAAGCAGGAGGGAGTGCCATTAACAGCAGAAAGAGGAAAACAAGATATGTGACAGTAGACTGCTGGGAAAGTGGGTTGTCCAACCCAACCCAAATCACTAGCTAAAGCTACAGTCTATACTGTTTTAAGGAACTTCCAGTCCATACATATACCTAAAGATGATAGCAACACACTGGCTTCTGTAACAAACAGCAGAAATCAACTTACCAGGAGATGTCCATGATAGACTTGTCAAACAGCTCATGAATGACAACTAACGGGCGTTTCAGACATGTGAGCTTAAAACAGAAAAAAACAACACTCAGAAATGTTAAGTTCTATGCTACAGATATTACCACATTAACACTCTCCTAGAGTCTAACAACATTCGAACAAGGCACTGGAATGGGTTGCCCAGGGAGGTTGTGAATGCTCCATCCCTGGCAGTGTTCAAGACCACGATGGACGAGGCCTTGGGTGGCATGGTTTAGTGTGAAGTGTCCCTGCCCATGGCAGGGGGGTTGGAACTTGATGATCTTAAGGTCCTTTCCAACCCTAACTTTTCTATGATTCTAAGACCTGGCCAGGAGACAGCTGTATGCCTTGTGGTCTTTCTGAAGCACCTAGTTACCCATTCCATTACAGGCACAGAAAAGCTTTGGAAAATAGCAGCTGACATTCAACCCTCACCTCCTTTCTGAAACACGGACTGAATTTCTTAACCAATTTTGCCTTTACATCACAGTAATAGAACACTCTCTACCACTTAAAAAGTAATTTCACAGATGCTAAAGACAGCTTCTATTCTAAGCTTTAACGAGATAAGAATGTTGTAAACTGCCAGCACAAGAGGAAGATGGAAAACAGATTAGGTTTCCATGTCCTCACTCAGACTCACTTGTCTAAATAAGTGAAGCCTATCAAGAGCAAAGGGAATTTGACTCACCATTATTCTTAAAGAGGATTCCTCTATACTTACAAATCAGCTTAGAAAGAACTGAATATGAAAATCCCCAGTAACCTGTTCTAAATCATTCTAAGCTCTTTAATGTTAAACCAAAGGTCTTGATATCTATAGTACATAGTACAACTGAAATAAAGCAGAAGACAATGTGGTATAGGATGTTTCATGCTCAAAGGTTCACGGATGTAGTGTAGCAGTCACCTTCAGTAGTTATTTCTTTTACACTTCCATAGGTCTGTGTAACAATTAAGGTCTTCAGGGCAAAGACTGCCTACAACTTTGCATCTCTATAATACCTAGTATAACCTCAAAAGTCACCCTAAATGACATGATAGCATAAATAGAAAGTAAAAAATACTGAGATTGATACTTTGATAAGGGTATGCACTGGTAGCATTGCCAGAAACACTTAGTGTTGTGCATTTAGCGATTAATGGATAAATATCACACTGGAATCTATAAATAGTAGAATGCAGTTAGCAACTGGTGTGTTCTGGCACATTCTCATCACAAAGCTTTACAAATCAGTTAAATTTATTCCCTGTCCTTTCCAGTTGCCAAACAACCGTCTTGCATTTCTAAGTGTTGGAATAGCTACTCTTCTCTTAGCCAGAATAACAATTTTAGTGTAAATTTTACAGTAAAACCCAAACTAGATATCGAGAACTCAAAAATATACTTAAAAAGCTCATTTACTTTCATATTCCTCTTTCAACAGCAAAAACAGAAGCCAGGAAATGAAGTCAGAACAAAGCAGAAAGATGAGCTGCTCAGAAGCAGCTATCCTATGCTTGCTATGTTCTCCTCATACCCATAAAAGCAAGACTAACAAAGGCAGACTCTAAGAGTGATTAACGAATAGGTGGGCTAAATGTGGAGAAACAGTACTCTTAAAAGACTCATATGGAGAATGAGTAAAAGACATAGGAAGAAAATAGGGTGGAATTATGTTTATTAACTGAGGTAACATGATTTCTCTTAACAGCTCCCCCCAACCCCTCACCAGGGCAACATATTCTGCCACTGCTCTCGGCTTTAGAGAAATGAACTAACACCAACCCACTTCCTCTCCCCCTGGATAATCCTGTAACAACAGGGAGAAAAACCCCTAAACATTAACCTAAAGATAAGACCTAATGCTGCACATGTGGCCTTTGTGCTAAACCCCAAAGTTATCCAAATAACCACATTAGTTCAAGGGTGGCAAAAAACCCACTTACCCAGACAGAAAGAGATCGATCCTTACTACCAACAGCACAGCAGCAGTAGGGACAACTCGACTTGGTGGAGCTCCCATTCTTTTGTTTCTTCTTGAAGATTTTCGGATTGAATTTCTGCACCAATGAGATGCCCCAAATATTATTACAGTAATTGCATTTTAGTAGATCTGCTTTAAGAGCAAGTTTCCCACTTAGGCGCGAAAAAAACCACTTTTCATAGAAGCAAAGTCCTTAACCAGACTATGAGAGCACTGACAAAAAGCACATCTGCTTTCTGAAGAGGCTTTCTGAATGCCTTGACAGGAATAGTAAGTAGTAATAATTTTACTAGCAATAGGAAGCCACTAGAAACCTAAGTCACTTTATTCAAGTCGCTGAACAGCTAACCAAGCTAGTGTGGTTAGCTACTAATGTGCTCCTGCACCCTCACCCTCTTTGTTCATCTACGTCCAGTTCTCTTATCAGAAAAGCAAACTGATTGCTTCCAACATGTAAAGTTGACACTTTTGCATCACTACCATGGGTTTGCTTTACTAATCTTGACACCTACCTTCACCTCTTGTCCCATTTATGCATAGAATTATCAAAAGTTTTACTTCAGGGATAAATTACTATCACTCACTCACCACTACTGTAACTGCCTTCCGATGCCCTACAAAATCCATGTTGGTTTTCCATCCGTCTCTCTCAATGATCTGAGCAGTAGGTCCAGAATTATTCATGGCATGAGCAGAAACAAGATAGTGACCATCAGGTGACCAGCTAAGTCGCAACACATGAGTTGTCCCTCCACACTGACAAAAAAAAAAACCCAAACCAAACCAGAATTAGAGCTTTAAAAGTGGCAAACAAAGGATGTTTAATACAAGCTGTTCAAGTTTTAGATTTAGGGAATATGATTACAAAGTCAGTCTTCTGTGACTATAAAAGCATATCATTACATACAATTCTCAGTACTTCAGCTGTATTTTATACAGGTGATGTAGTGTGCCTTATGAAGTCCTACCAAAAAGGGGAAAAAGGAACCCAGAGAACTTTTTAAAGGAAAAAAAACATAAGTCTTTTTGGATACTGTACACTCAGAGCCTTAATTAGTGACAGGGCTGCAGCATACCGACTGCTAACAGTGAGACTTCAACTTGCAACACCAGCTCACACATGAATTTAGGCATTTACACTCTATACTAAGAGTAACTGCACTCATCACAATACCATAGATCACTGCAAAACACTCCACTCACTAAGCACCAACTTTTGTGCCCAGAAATTTAATCTCTTGATCAAAGTCATCACATAACAGCCCTGTGATGCCAGACCAAAGATCCCTCCTAAATACTTGTTTCTGACAGTGGCCAAGAGAAGATGCATAACGAAGAAGGTAAGAACAGTGTACTTAGTGTGCCGCTATTTCCTTGGAATAACCTTTGCATTTCCAGGAATTTACTTAATTGTTTACATAACCCAAATAAACCTTTGACATCCACAACATCCAATGGCAATAAGAGTCTCACTTTAATCACGTGTGAGAAGGCAGCTCTTTTTCTCCCCTTCAGAACCTGTCATCTGATAGTTTCATTCAATTCAGCACCGTTAAATCAGTTAATGTTTGTGCAGAATCAGAGATATTCTTATCACTTTTGTTCATTCTGTAGGAATTCACTTTGAACAGTCACACATCCTGGAGTACCTCATCAAAGGGTTTTGTGATGCTGGTTTCCAACTGCCAGTCCATGGTCCGCCACACCTTCAAACTTCGATCATCAGCCTGAGAGGCAATGTATTTCCCAACAGGATCCCAGGTCAGCCCTTTCACCAAGCCAGAATGCCCCTTCAAAGTGGCAAGAATTTCTGTGCACACAAACATGGAGAACAGGGAATAGTTACTGATATCTCCTTTATGACAAACTGCTGAGGAGATCTACAAGATCCTTTGGAAACTTCCTTTAATGTACAAACAACAATATAAGGACTGCAAAGTTCTTTATAAGAAAGAGATCAGAGCAGAAACACCAGCAGAACCCCAGGTGTTCAGAATAGCACTTGCAAGCTATGGAAAGCAGCAGTTTAACTGGAACTTCAGTGAAACATTCATTCTCTCCCCCGCACCCAAAGATTATCACAACAAATTCAGCTTTGTGCAGCAAATGTGATCTAAGCCAAAGTTGCAGCTGAACAGACATACAAGCCTGGCAGACCTGGTAACCTGCTTTCAGTCAATCTCTTCCTTATCGGACTACGAGAGAAGAGGTTGTGAGTACTGCACAAGCTACACAGTTAGCATGAATGTCTAAAAACCCTGGTATCTGGATTGGAAGCAACACTAAAACATAACACAGTGACTAGGCACCACAGAATGGGAGTTTCAGCCTGCATCAGGTTACGTGGTGAGAAGCAGCCAGATAAAAGCACATGCTCCCTAACTGCCACAGACCCTCACAGGTCAGCTGAAGCTGTCCAGTGTGCCGACTGCTTATCCCTGAGAAACAGACTTTGAGACTGTGTGACCTGCTAGCACTGCAGCAATGGAAGAAGGAAAATGGACATCAAATGTAAGACTTGGGAGCTTCTGCTACTGTGAGGCTCCGCTAGTCCTTCCCTTCACCCTGTAAAGTCCCACTGCTTATTAAGCAGCAGCAGTTAAAATGGGGTTAATAAAATAATGCCACCCCAAAGGTGAATGAATGTAAAGTCTTGTGAGCACAAAGGCAACAGGGAAAAAAACCCCAACCATATATGCATATATAGATGTATTATCAAGCTCAAGTTCTATCTATTTAGGATTTTTTTTGGGAAAAGGCAAAAGAGAAAATACACGTGACAACGTTCACGTAAAATCAGCAACCTGAATGTAGCCGCTGTCTACAGCAGAGTGGCATCCACTGCTCATTGCCATCAAACTTGGAAGGAGGACTGGGTCACCAGGTTGCAAGAACGTCATCTCAAAAGACAGACAGCCCATTCCCACCTGCTGATTTTCACAGTCAGTGCAAAGCACCCATGGGGCAAAGAGTTTAGCACAAATCTTTACATATTGCACATCTGAAACGTAAAAATTCTCACCTGGGAATTTGACAGCGTTCCAGATGACAACAGTGTTATCCACACTACAGGATGCCAGCCAGGCATCATGCGGAGACCACGCTACATCCATGACATCTGTTTACAAAAAGTTTTCATTTAAGACATTGATGGTAACCAGAGAATCCCAAAAATCTCTTAAAAGAACTGGTGTGGCAACTTCTTTTCAATCACTGAGAACTTAGGATTCCACTAGAGTGGAAGGTAAGAAAGAACACAGCAGCACTCGCTGGGAGGAAGCTCTTTTTTACAGCGCCCAATGGGGAGCAACAACAACAAAATCCAGGGCAGAGAATGCAAGATTTAGTGATGACAGGAAGTACTAATGCCTGTATAAAGTACTTTGTCTTGTTCTGAACAGAAAAGCAACAGCAGCTGTTGCAGTGCACTCACTTTATTCCAACACACGTGGAGTGATGAAAGTGATTTTAATCTTTATTTTAATCGCAGCTCACATCAGCAGGTGCAAAACACATTTGAAATCTGGTTTATTCATCTTTTGCAGTGCTCTTCAGTTTTACTTTTTCTTAAATAAATACTACTATTCTTTGGGTTACAAAAGTTTGTATTTTGCTAACCAGGAAGTTACTCACTGCAAGTGTGAACATTCATTGAAATAAAAATGCAGTTTAGCTTCCGTTATTCAGATTTATTTTTAAGCTACCAAACAGCAAAATATAAGTTCCTTAGCTGGTAATTTTTCTACTACAGTAGTTGCTGGAAGTTTTCTGCTACTTTGCCTAAGTGACTTGTATGAAAATCAGCATTTGATTAAAAATGCCATTTTCTTTTAGATTTTCATTGATGCTTTTAGAAGTAGTGTCTGAGTTGCCATCAAATACGTACTTTTTGAGGAAAAACTGAAAAGGTTCTTTTTTCCCCTCCCAAATACATGCAAATTACGTTCATTCAACACCTTTTAACTTACCCCCTGAATGGCTTCTGAGTATCGATACACACCTCCACTGCTCAACATTAGTAAGTTTGCTACTAGAACCAAACACAGTGCTAGGTCCAATGTACCTAATTAAAAAAGAGAAAGTTAACAACAGAACAACCTCAAGTTCTTCAAACTTTCTTGCTAATCAGATGCACAGTACACTTCTTTTTTACATTTATTTCTGCAATGAAAACTGAAGGGAAAAAACTCTTTTTTTTTAACAGAAAGGAATTCCAGTTATTAAAAATCAGCTTCAATAAACCGTACAATTTCTACAAATAGTAAAAAAAAATTAGCATTTAAGATAACTCTTCAAATCTCATCAGGAAGCTTTCTTCAAGTACAGAAGAAAATGCCTCAGCTCCTTGGCAGAAGAGAGACTGCCCAGGTAGACACACTCCAGCCCAAGAGACAGGACATCAAATCTCCCATACCAGGTTTTAGCCCCTTGTGCACCAGAAGAAACAGTGAGCTTACGAAAGACCAGCACAGGGAAGAAACATTAAGAGATGCGACAGAGTAACCTACTTAAAATACAACATAAAATCAGGAAGGAAGAAATATGCTTACGCAGCTCGTTTCCACACCATAATCAACTTGTCATCTCCCCCTGAAGCCAAGTAAACTCCATTGTTTGACCATCGCACACAGTTCACACATGCTGAAATGTAGGAAAAAAAAGTTTGTAAGATGAAACATGAGAATAAGTGGCTCAGGACTGGGGCAGAGTTTGTAATAACCAAAACTTGACAGGAAACGGTTAGGATTTAAGTGTGCTTTTTCCACTTGTAACAGTTACTCTGCCTGCTTTAGATAAATGAATTAGTACTTATCTTTCAGCAGCAGTTGAGGAACTTCTTATTTTAAAAGCCTACTCCTTATTTAAAAAAGCTTCACCAGAAGTAGCTCAAAAGAAGAAAGATTAATATTCATCTAACGAAGAAAACTGCTTGTGGTAACTGAGATAGGATTAAGAGGGCACAAAAGAGATGATGTATCTTGAAGATGATGCATCTTGAAGAAGGGACAGCTCTTCAGGTAACCATACTTCCTTCAAATGTAATGTGCAATGGATCCAGAATAATTTAGAACTACAACAAGACACTTCATATGATATTTCTTTTATACTTATTTCTTCTCTTGCCCTTTCCTTCAGAGCTTCCCAGTTCCTTAGAATGTGCATTACAACTACTTGATGGCCACAGCTGGAAAAAGCTCACAGGGAGATTTCCAAAGGTAACTGTATTTCTCTGTGCAGTTTCCTACATTTCCCCAACATTTTCTGCTGCGCATCTAAACCAGTATACAAGCAAAGTATGAGACGACTCTGCTGTATGGTATTGATTCTTCACCACTGAACAGGGCATGACTTTTGTAAAACATGAAATGCTTAAAAAAGGTAAAACAAAAAAAGAATAATCTTTGTTACCTAAGTGATTGTCCATCTGACAAAGCATCTTGGGGATATTTTCATTCTTTTCATCTTCCTCTTTCAGGACAGGAGCCATATTCCAGATTACAACTTTCCCAGAATCCTGACCTGTAAGAGAACAAAAAGCCCACCCACCCCTTTTAAATACATACAAAAAGGTTTCTCAACCTAAACATCTGTTCTGAAACTGAGATAAAATTGAGGCATTACCAGAAGCATCTGAGTACAGATGCCATTCAGATATAGTTACACCAAGCCAGAAGTGGTTTATTTTTCCTGAAGCTCTTAAAAGTTATACAGCCTTGTTCAAAACTCATACTGTGCACAACTGATGGCAATTGTAGGGATGAACTAGTTATAATAAGATTGTATTTTAAAAAAGATAGATTCAAATCTGACATTGCAATTATTGTAGCCAACATAAAATTATTCACTATTGTGATCCACATAATATTTTTGCATCTATTTCTTAAGCTATTCCATTTATATAATTGGATTTTTTTGTCCCAATAGTTCTAGTGTTTAGCAGGTCAAAAAGCCCCACTTCACATTCAGTTCCTCTTCAAAGAAGAAATTTGGCCAGTATAGCCACAAGTAATTACTGCAGCTTCTGTCTATCTCAACGATGTCCACAAGGATGAGCACATCAGAAAACACAACCCTGCCTTCTGCAGTAACAGCAGCACTTGCCAATACATTTTAATGACTTACACAATGATCTGTTTCTCAGAGATAAGTGATGTGTTTTTAAAAGGGTCAAACCCATTCAAGTGTTGTGAAGGCACAAGATTATTATTACAGCCCAAAATTCAAACTTCTGTCAGTATGCAAACACACCTTGTCCTCCTGTTGCAAACTTGGTCCCATCTGGATGAATGTCCACTGAAAATATTGGCTTTCCTGGAATTAGAGAACAAGCAGCAAACGTGAATTGTTTTACAGCCAAGAGAATGCAGTAATGCCAAAAGAACCATAACTCTTCTAGATGGCAAATAACTTCCTTCTTCTAAACACTACAGTTGTTAAGATTTACAGCTGACTATGAGTCGAAAGCAAGCTAATTACAGAAATGCCAGCCTATTAAAAGTTTATGGGAGTTATCAAGCCATAACAAACCAGTGATAATCAAGGACACTTAATCCAGCAGGATATGCCAAATGCCTCAAAGCTAAGTAACACCACAAAGCAAATGCCAACGAGGCAAAACTGATTTGAGTAAGGAATTCCTTCCAGGTTTCTACAGTTCGTTAGCTGATGACCTGAAGCAAGTTTTGTTCTGGTTTCTGGTTTTGTGTTTTTCAGTCCTCCCCAGTCTCAGACTGCATCTCTTGGGCACACAATTACCTCAGATTCTGTTGCTATGAAACTCTTCTACCCAAATACTAGCTTCTATTTTTATAGCTTCCACACAGACAGAGGAAGACTAACCAACTCTAGTACTAACTCTTAAATCCTTCGGTTCTCCACATGTTACATCTTTAGAAGAAAACTAGTAATCTTCCAAAAATGTCAACTCTACAGCAAATAACTAATATAGCTGGGGAACAGCTCTGGAAACCAGACAACCCTCTCTAACCTATTCTGCTCCAACCACTGGATCACACACTCTCCTACAGGTTCGGAGTTCTTTTAACCTTTGCAGAAGGAGAAGGAAGAGGGGAGAAGTAAGCTTATTGCCCTTTCAGTGATGCTCAAAGAGCTACCACTAAGGATTACTTGAAGGAACACACGTGATTTCCACATTCAGATAATTTTTTGGCAGCAGTCCCAACCCTTTCAAAGTGGAATGCTTCTGCAAGCAAGATCACACATGTGCCAGTACAAAATAAGGCAGTTTATCTCAGAGCCAAAAGAACTGGTACCCGTATACCAGGGTTACTCAATAAATTTCCCTCTATCTCAACTCTTCACTGCGTCTTCACAATATGTTAAGACTTAAAAAGATAAAACTTGGAGAATTTACCCAGTGATAGGTTTTAGCATCCAAATTCATTGATACTAAACTGCTAACAAAACCCCCATCCAAATATCCAGTATTTCTTACTTTTTGTGGGGTATGCATTTTGCTTCATGGCAACTTTGATTTTCTTTATGGTGACTTGCTCTAAGGTTTATTTTACTTGGATTTATGCTAAAAGTGACATGTGATTCCCCTTAAAATTTCTACAGGCAGCCAAGCAAAGACCTTAAGCACAGTAAGATGGCACTCAACTTACATTCCTTCCAAGTCCTTTAGGCCACATAAAACACAACCTGAGACATAGCTGTGGCTTTTCTTCAGCTCGTTGTGCCAGTTCTATCTTTTGTACTGTATTAACTTGAATGCAACTGAAGACAGGGCTAAGTTGAATATTTAGAGAAGCACAGGCAAGAAACAAACATCTATCTTGCCCTTCCTAGGTGCTTTATAAACTCTCATAGCCTCTCCAGTTTCTGCCTTATCTTAAGAGCACAACGCTAGAGGAGCAGTAGCATCAGCTGTCTTTCTCCTTCCAGGCAGAGTGTTTGCACAGATCCACAAACAGGGTTGGTGAAATTTAGCAAGTTTATTTATGGAGCCAGCGGTAACTTAGCTACAAATTCACCATAAATGCTTAAAATCAGCCACAACACAGCAGGGAAAATGTCCACCGAGCCCAGCACTCTGTGCGCAGAAACCAGCACTGGGTATCTCCCTAAGCATGACAAGGACACAATGTTTCTTCCTAGGATAACTGCCCATCTCCAAAAGATTTTCGACTCCCACTTCTTGTATCAGAGGCCCTCAACAGGCTTTTCCACTATAAATTCAATCATTCGCCCCTTTGCTGCTGCTCACAGCTCTACAAACGTTCATCATGTCTCCAGCTCCACTTTCCCACTCTTGGCCCAAAGACTCCCACTTGGCCATGCCTTGTACAAAAGCTGTCTCTCGCTTTTGATCATTCTGGTCACTCCACTGTAAGCCTCCTTCAACTCTCCTGTATTTTATGAGATAGAGGGGAACTGTCTTTGAAGACAGTGCTCAAACACAATCATCCAGGTATTTCTGTAGCACGATAAAGTTTTTAGTTATTTTCCTAGCACAGATTTGTTTTTTTTTTGTCTAACAAACACTGAGCAGGTATTTTCTTAAATTATTATAACCCTAAAATCTCAGACCTCAGAGGAAGTTGTCAGGTCATGGGACATTATTTTATAGACGGTTTAAAAAGGGTATGGACTTTGTGCTTGGGAAAACTGGCAGTAATAAATGAAGCCCTCAACAACAAATCAAGTTTCCTGCATGGCTCAACTAGGAAGGGGAGCCATGAACAATGACCTACCAGGAAACTTGGGCTTTTCACAGAATTTGCCAATAAGCTTAACATCCAATGACTTGTGAACATGAGGCCTGTCAAATTCATCTCCTGTAAGAGCCAAGTAAATATGGTTTCCATCTGAGGGATACTTCCTAATAAACTGGACTGGTTTCATACATCACAGTCTCACCAGCAGAGTCCAGATGCATCCAGTGGTTAACCTTTAAAGACCTGCTTTTTCTCCCTAGAAACATTACTTTAGTAAATCAAGTTCCAGACTTCTAGGAGTTTGTACAGATAAGAGTCTTCCAGTTTTCATATACAGGAAATCTGTCAAACTACACCCAGCCTCAACCTGTCACACCCTCTTTGTAATAAACATCTGCATTAATCCAAATGCAAACAACTGCAAAATGCCATGTTTTATTTATTCGTGGAGGAACCCATGAACTTAAACTGACAATAGGAAACCAAAGAGGGAAGCAACTACTTAATGATCTTGCTCAGGACAAGGCATCAGGATTTGATTCCTGGCTCTGGCTGCAGTGACCTTTTGGTGAAGCCAAGCGTAGCAGCAGCCCTGTCTGGATGCCTACAGGAAGCAGTAGCTACTGGATGTCAGAACCTGAGCTTCTACCTCTTCAGCTAAAATGACCACTTGCATCCATTTTTCAGGCAGCAGTAGTTGCTGTGTGTTTCAGCACCGGGGACCTTAAGAGACTCACGGTGATGTAATCCAGGCTAGAGAGCATCTGATTAGGACCCTTTGGCCAACGCTCAGAAAGGAGTCGTAGCTTCTCTATTTACTAGAAAGCAGCATTATCAACATCACAAAGAATTCAGTTCCTATCTAGCACAAACACTACACGAAGTTTCAAGTCAGTTCTGTCACATACTCATATTCACAAGCACACAAATAGGTGAAACACCCGGAGTTCACAGCAGAGGTTCAAAGTTTCAACATCAGCTACAAGAGGCATTTGAAGGCCAAAGCACCAGCTTGGAAAGGGGAATCTTCCCAGTGTCCTGCTCCAGAGCTGCATGTGCTTCTCTTGGCTATTGAGAAACAGGGGGCTTGTTATGATTCAATTAGATTAGTAAAAAGGATCACTAGTAAAGCAACTGCTTGGGATCAGCTATCAGCGCTTTCACAACCTAGAAGGAACGTATGTTTTTAATAAGTTTGCTCTCCACACTTTTCTGTCTACCCCTTACAACACAGAACAAGTTCCGTAATTATGAGATTGCTTGCCCAAGTAAACCAAGACTTAATACTTGTTTGCAGTTTTCTCCATCCAGGGATGTCAAATGATTACAAGAAGAGAACAGATTAAGTGATCACAGGACAGAAATTTAGCAAGACAAGGTCATTCCCAGGGTGCTCTTTCCTCCAGGGTACCGTTATCAAGGCAATACCATTTACAGTAGAGGATAACTGTCACAGGTTAAAGCTGCAAGACTTGTTCCATACTCCTTGTGGTTCACAAACTGATCACAGACACTGTGTTCTTCCTTACTTCCATCATTTTCTCAAAGCAATGGAGGACGAGCTGTCCTTTGATAGCAACTGCCTCCCTCCTCGGTCCTCCTCGGACTTTGTTGTTAGATCCTGCTGAAACAAGCCAAAAGGCACAAGGTCCCTGTTTCAAAGAGGCTGAATGCTTTCCAATGCCCCAAACTGAAGATGTGTTCAATTTTCTAACAGTAATCATGTATCAAACCAAAATGTGATACTTAAGCAGGAACATTAAAACGGCATTTTGTCCTCTTGTAATAATAGCTAAAGAAACAAAAGAAAGTTTAAACTATGGAAGCTCCCAGCATCACATTGCATGAGGAAGCAAACCGGGTTCATTTAAAACAGAACACCTTATGATAGACCAGATGTCCTGTTGGATTATTTGTTTAAAGAAGCCAAATATGTATTATGTACTTAAAGAACTATCAATAATGAAAGAAGCCTGGAAGGAGAAGTTCCAAGTGAGGTAATTCAAACCCAAGAAGGTCCCATCTTTAAGAAAAGATACCAGCTGAAGAAAAAAAAAGGCTATTTTCAATATTGCATCTTTTTTTGCTTGTTATTTACCTTTAGGCAATAGTCAACAGAATATAAAGACAATTTCATGTTCATCCCTACCACAGGATGAATGACTTCCTATTCATTTTACTTCCAGCCTATCTGATATATAACATCCAACATGAGTCACAAATCAATTCAAATATTTACATTCCACCATTACAGCTTGGAGAGATAATAAACTCTGTGCTCATATTTAAACAAAAGCAGGCTCTGATTTCTACAAGTTGTTATACATGAACAGCACCTTGGGATTTGCCTGGGTTTCTGGGAATGTCAAGAGACCTCCTTTCCTGCAGGGCTCAGCATGTGCCTGTATTTGCCAGCTTTAATGACCTGGGCTTGCAAAACCCTGTGTGCCAAATACATACATACGACTGTTGGATACGTGATGCATCTTTAGAGAGGTGCTGAATGGAAAACTGGGAAGGAGAAGCAAAGGCACCATCTGTATCTTAGTCATCTATTCCTGCCCCCACTATTAGATTGCATGTTTCAATGTTCTTCCTTGCTTTAAGTCAATGAAATGTGGAAGAGAAGGCCACAGTGATATGAGAGTTTCATGCAAAACCTAATAAACCCATATTAAGAGTGTGAAAAGCTTATGGAAAATGCATCTGAAGAAGAAACATTTCCAGTAAGTACTCAGATAAAGTGACATTAAGAACTCCAAGGCAAAAACCTGTAGGGCCAAAACGTGCTAAAGTGCTTTTACTGCAAACAGCATCTTGGGTGAGCGGCACATGGTTTGCAGGTGTACTGGATTTCCCAGCTATGACGCTAACTTCCAGTATCTCATGGAGCTGTATGCCTGTAAGCATCATTAAACCCATTCTAGCCCATTCACTAAGGTAAAAACCCCAAAACTGAATGGGGAGAAGGGAAAGACAGCACCTTGACCTGGTGTGTGGGAGAAACTGTGAGGACTCTTGCTCATAAACCAACAGCAGAGAAGCAGCCTCTTGTGCCCGTGCAGAAAATAAAAGTTTAAAAACTCCTTTTACACAGAACCACAGCAAGTCTCCAGGACACAGAGTGAATATAAATGATGTTTACCCTGTTTCTGGAGAGGTTTCGCAGCACGCAGGTAGACCCATTAAGAGCAATGGAGACTCCTTGCCTGCAGCGATGCCCACAGGATCTGGAACCCAGGCACGTTAAAAGAGGCTGACTGAACTCCCCAGTTTTTATCCTGCACGCCCTGCCCCAGGGACAAGCACACATGAACGTTCTGCAGTCCTTGTAGGTTTGCAGACCTTAGAGCATTTTACAAATGAAGCTAGTGATGAACGTCTGTTTTGCAGGTGGTGAAACTGTGACAAAGTGACTTGCCCAAACTCATCCCAGCAGGACAGCAGCAGACATGGGAATAAAAGCTGGGACCATCAAGGCCCTGGCTCACTCATTATCCACGAGGCAGAGTATCAAGGGCTTCGTAAATGGAGCTCCGCTGTGGGCTGCTTGGCTGAAGGCCGTCTTCTGCAGCGGTGAGATGCATTTTAAGTTGCTACTGATTTCAAACACGCACCCTCACCACACGGTGCACCCGCTAAAGAAATACAGAAAGAAGTTACAGATCTAATCCTTGTGACCTGCAAAGGTTCAGGTCAAAAGCATGCTCCCACTGGAGCTCCAGAGAAGCACAGGATCATCTGCCCACAGGCAGGTGGAGGTTAACATGGAAATGTGACATTTGTTTAGATCAACCAAGCAGAAGGGTAGAAAACACCTCACATAAAGTACCTTGTGTCAAAAGTCTGGGTCCATCTCCTGACTGTACAGTCCCTGTGGAGTAGTTCAAGTAGAGATGCATGTGAAATGCATCCCAAGGCTTAAATTACTACTCTTAAAACCTGAAGCACGATTAAACAGGGGAAGTTTAGGTTGGATATAAGAAGGAAGTTCTTTCCTGTTAGGGTGGTGAGGCACTGGAACAGGTTGCCCAGGGAGGTTGTGAATGCTCCATCCCTGGCAGTGTTCAAGACCAGGTTGGACGAGGCCTTGGGTGATATGATTTAGCGTAAGGTGTCCCTGCCCATGGCAGGGGGGATGGAACTGGATGATCTTAAGGTCCTTTCCAACCCTAACGATTCTATGATTCTATGATTACAAAGACATCAACACATGCAGAAAGGCAGCTGCAAAGCTGTATCTGCGGTTTTTAACTCAAAGCACACACTTGAATAAGGCGGTCTCTGGTCTGGTTTTATTGTAGAGGAGTTCAGCTGTTGACATTTATACCAGGGTGTAAGATTTGCAGTTCAAATAAAGCTGTACCCATGGATCCGTGGACAAAACTTGCATCAACACAGGGCAGTTTTTCATGTTAGATTTATTCTCACGGCTTTGCCAGGAGCAGGACGATATTACACTGGAAAATTACCATAAGCACTGTAAATACATAACACCAATGCTGTCCTGTGCTCACCACACCAGGAAAGCTCAGAGCTTTCTGTCTGCAGCGACACTTCATTCTGAGTGCCTCAGCTCACAAAGCTGTTCAGAACCGCCCGAGTGGCGGGCAGGATACTACACAAATTCAGGGAGCTGTTTCACAAGCAGCATCAGCAGAATCTTTTCCGTCCATGGCGAACAGCGCTGCAGCCTATTGCGGGGGGGGGGGCTCTAACACTGAACTTGACTCAGTAACGCGGGACCACCGTGGCCAGTGCAGCGCGCTGGCACGGGACATCCGTCCATCCACCATCCCGCGGGGCACCTCGGTCGCTGCCCGACAGCCTCCGCTCTCTCACAGACCACGCTTGACCCAAACCACCCCTCTGTGCTCCCACGCGGACGGAGCTGCCCAATGCTGCCGGCAGGTCCCAGCAGCGGCCCCAGAGCGGACCTGTCCCCGCGGCCACCGCCAGCGCCGCTCCAACGGCCGCCGGCGCGGCACCCTCAGCCATCTTCCGGAGGACGGGCTCGGCCGAGCTCCGCACCCCGCGCATCCCACTCCTCTGCATCCCGGGGCGGTCTCGCACCTCTCCCGCTGTCCCCGCGCAACCCGGACGCCCGGGACCGAGGACTTGTTGCTCCCCGCTCCCGGCCGCCCCGCGGCACCTGCCCGCACCGCCCGCCGAAGCGGCGGGGCCCCGAGCACGCCGCGGCCGCCCGCAGCCTGCGGGGTGGCAGCTCCTGAACGGCCCCGCTGCCCCGGCCCGGCCACCGCTCGCCCGCGTTCCAACTCGCCCCCCACGTGTGCCGCGCCGCGCCCCTCCTCACCCACCGCCCCGGGTCGCCGACACCCCCCCTCCGCGGCCCCGCTGCCCGGTACCCCGCCGCACCTGCCCGCCGGCCCCGCGGCACCTGCTGCCCGGCGGTGCGCCCGGCCCGCACTCACCATTGTGGTTGACCCAGGTCGGCTTCAGGAGCTTCATTGTTCCCCGCCCGGGGCCCCCGCCGGCCTCCGCCCTCGGGACCCCAGGGCGGCTCCACCCGGGCTGCCTCCGCGGCCGAGCGAGCGGCGGAGCTCAGCGGCCGCCGGCCACCATGGGCCCCCGCCGCGCGCCGCTCTGCCCGCCCCCTCGGCCGGCCGGAGCCGCCTCAGCGCTGCTCCATGCCCCGGCGCCGCTCGTGCCGCAGCCGCCGTCGCCCGGCCGCATCCCCTGCTCCGCTCCCGGCGGCTCCCGGCAACGCCGGAACTCGGCGCCTGGCAACCGCCAAACCGGCCCGGCGGGAAACAGCCGCCCCCGAGCACCGGCGTTCCCCCGCCTCGGCCGGCGGGGGGCGAGATCCCGCGAGGCACCGCCGCCCCGCCTCCAGGGCGGGCGCGAGAGGCCGGATGGGCGGGCGCCCCCTGCCGGGCGGAGAGCGGCCATGGCGGCGGGGCGGGGCCGGGAGGGGCGGGGCCGGGAGGGGCGGGGCCCGGGCGGCACCAAACACATCGCTCCACTCCCGGAACGTTTGTGAGACGGAACTGGGGTCGCGGCAGTCGGAGCGCGGCCGGCGGGTTTCTGCGGGCGCACCGCTGGCACTGACCTGGAGCCATGTTGGCGGCGGCGTCCCGCGGGCTCTGCGGGGCCCGGCTCAGGTAGGGCTGGGGCGGTCACGGCGCCCCGGGGGGAGGCCCGGCGGAGCGGCCCTTGCGCGGGTCATGCACTGCCCCTCCATGGCCCGCCCTGCGCGGGGCGGCCTCGCTCTCCCGGGGCTCCTCGTGCCCGCGGGTCTGGTTCCGGGCACCGGGGCCGCTTCTTGTTCTGGTGCGGTCTGCCGAGGCGTGAGGAACGGCATCGGCCCTCCTGATGGGAACGGTGGGGGGCTCTGCTTCCAGAATCGCACCTCAGAAGCCGATACCAGGGCTTAAGAACAGGATTGCTCTGATCGTTAAAGCTGTACCTGCTTCACCCGCCGGTGCCCTGCAGGTTCACCCCACTGACAACCCACATTCTGGGTGTAGTTTACCCACTGTAGAGTGTCCGGGCACACACTGTATACTGTCATGAATTAAGTAGCCAAGATGATTCAAATCCCAGTGTTGTGATTCATATATATATAAAATACAACTGTATACAACTAATATTATTAACTATATATATTTATTATAACTAATGAATAGCTCTTGTGCAGAATCAATGGCATCACAGTCAGCTTCTCTTCATGCTTTATGTCCTATTTCCTTCCTCAGTTCCTGGCTGCCCCAGGCAGTTGCATCCCGAGGGAGTCACTGGCAGAGTTCGGTGCTGGCATTCAGGGCATCTCTCCCCATGAGGTGAGCAGCTTCCATGGAGTTATATGGAGGTGATTTCATCCATAGGGAAATGCAGATTTCTTAAAGTCCAAATTAACTTTTAACTGTAGGTGTCTGCTTTTCAGTCACCGTATGTGACACTTGTTGAGGACTGTCAGCCTCCTGAGAATTTAATGGTAACTACTTGATGCATGTGTGTATTTGCTTCCTCAGCCACGGAACGTGGTTTGAGATACTCAGATTTATGCTGTGCTCCTCTGAGCACCAATGCAAATGAAAGCCTTGAACAGAAAACACTGAACTATGAAGTGTTACACTGGACCGCCTGCATTTATGTATGGCTACATTTTGGTATCTGTTTTATTTTGATGCAACTAGACTTAAAATACTCATGCTGCTGTTTGGTACCATCAGAGAGGCTGTTTCACACCACAGCAGCTGTTTGTTCAGTCTGCAAGGCAGGAGTGATACCCCACCACAGGCCCACTGTGAGGGTTTAGTCTGTGTTTGGGGAATGTGCCGCATGTTACCTTGGGAATACTGGATCTGCATGAGGAAGTACAACAGCAGAGTAACATCTGCAGCCTGAATTTGGTTCCAAGTGTGGAAATTTTAGAAGGATGTGTGAAACCACTCACCCTCCTCTTTAATGTGGGATGACGGGAATACTTGCAGATAAACCTGTTACCCACTCTGCTGCACCTGAACAACAATTCAGTTCAATTTTTGTGGCACTTCCTCATGTCATTCTGATGTTAAGCACAAAGTTGGAGGTTGCTTTTCTCAGGTAGGCACAGGGCTCCCTGCAGCAAATCTCACAGGACATACTGCTATCACCTGGAAAACTGCATTACTTGAATAAAGGTCATGGCAGGAACCTCACTGGAGACCAAATTAAGCAATAGGAAGGAACAGTACTTAGAAAAGCAAAGTGGAGGTGAAGGCTGCTGGTTTGTAATTCAATGACAAAATACCTGCTTTCTTTTACACCCATTTTTTCCCTTGCAGAGCGCAACCAAAGAAGAAGAAGAAGGTAGATGTGAAGAGAGAGCAAGCACAGAAGGATCGTATGAAAAAGAGGATTAAAAAGTTGGAAAAAACTGCCCCCGAATTGATTCCAATTGAGGATTTTATAACACCAGTGAAGTACTCAGATAGCAACAGGTCAGTCTTTCACTGTGTGCTTGCATGCATGGTAGAAACACTTATTCTGTCTCTGCAAAACAGGAACATAGCGCCAGCCTTGGGACAAAACCTTGTCCGCTTCCACCAAGACAAAAACATGGAAAATAAATTTTATCTGCTTCCACTGCTAGAAGTAGTGGAAATAAAACAGTAACATGAATTTCCTGTTTGACCAACTGGAAAACCTCAGAGACAGACGCTGTATGAAGGGAACGTACTCTCTGGGTTTGATGGGGTTTTTTGGTGGTTTGTTGTTTGCCCTGATTTGCTCTTTGGGGTGCAGGCTATTTTTATGACACTGTTGTTTTACTTTGCATCAGGGTGCGAAGTCTTCCTGACCTGTCACCTGAGGAGACTGAAAGAAGAGTTTTACTTCTGAAAAAGTGGTGTTTGTTTAAGCAGAAACAAGATAATGCAGAAAAGAAAGCAATTCGGAGCATGGTAGAAGCTCAGCAAGAGGCACTAAAGGAACTGCGCCTTGAGTCGGAGGAGTTGTATCAAGCAGCAATCAGGCGAGATAAGGGGCTTTTCCCCTTTGAGAGAGATGGACCCAGTTACACCCCACCGCTCCCTGGCTATGATCCTCCTGAAGGAAAATGCATTGATATCACCAAAGTGTATACACAGTGATGGAGGAGTTTGTAGCTCATCTGGCATGAGCTACTCAGCTGATGCAGGAGGAAAGAATGGAGTAAGGATGAACTACTCCTGTAGGTTAAAATACTGTAGGTGTGAGACTGCAAAAAATACGTATTAATGAAGTACCTGTTTGGTTGGGTTTTTTTAAACAGCGATCTCGGTAGTAAGATGCCCAAAGAGCTACACTGCCTTATACTTGTGCCATGCTGCAACGAGACAAACGGTATTTCACAGTGTTTTATCTTTCTGGGCTTCTCTCATCCCTCCATGCAGCATTTCTTTGTTCTGCATAAACCATTACTTGGAAGATTCCCATGCTACACGTAAAGAATGTCACAGTCATCATATTAGGATCTGTACTAGAAGGGAGTTAACAGCTGATTGTTTACTGCCTTTGTTTTCAGACCTCGGTGAAATACTTTTGCATCCAAGAGGGAAAGCACAGTGACAGAGTCAAAAGTGAGGTGGTTTTGTTTTCTCTTTAATATTGCCATATAACAATTAAGTTTCTAAGGGCTTGCCCTAAACCAAAACAGATTTCTCTCCATCCATTTAAACCTTCATTTTTGTAGTAAGCTTGAGTACTGCAGTCAACACACACCCATTAAAGAGCAATTCCACAAAGGGGCAGGGTCGCAGTTTCACCCCACCGGTTAAGAAACTCAACCCATAACAGTCACAAACCCAGGAAGGATCCTTCAGATGCCAGTGGCTGTGTTTGTCCTGAACTGGCAGGGAGGAGCCCCTGCTTGGTTTTATTTGCCCATCTGGCACCTTGTTCCACAAGTGCACAACACTGGCTGTGAGGGGAAGAGGTGCTGGCCTAGCAAGAGGAGCTAGATCATGTATGCAGTGACATAGGAGTTGCCTGCCAAGGTGCTGAGATGAAAACCTAGAGCATGGGACAGCAGTAAGAGACCAAAATGAAATCAAACACCTCAGTTCCCCCTTAGAGGGTGTTTAAGTGAACTGTGGTTTTGAATGAGCACTGAACTATTGCCAGGGCAGAGCTAGTTACATCATTTCAACATGACATGGAAGAAAAGGAAAATACCCAGCATAGTTGTGCATTGTGTATTGCATTACTGACCAAACACAGCAAAGCAGTCTTGCTAATTTGGTTTGTCTTGGTCAAGTGGCAGATACCAGTCAGGGGGTGGGTTCTTCCTGAGTGTCCACACTGGAGCATACTTCTGGTTTTCCATGACTCGAGCTCTTTCACTCTTGCACAAAGCTTCCTGAAGTACAAGACAAAAACATTACTGCTACAGTGGTGGATGTTCCAGTATCACACAGCTCATTTCTTGCTGTGACTATCTGAGATAAAATGAGGACCTGAAATTTATCATACTTAAACAGAAGTGCCAAATACTATCTAAGCAGGCCAGGATACAAACTTTTAACTACATCACATTTACCTTTTTGCCTCCAACTCCTCCATCACGAATAAAACCGCCAGTTATGTGCTACCATCCCTGCCAGTTTGATGGAGCTGAAAGGCTGAGCTATGCTGCAGCCTGTGCTGAAGGGCTCCTGTCCCGTGTTCATGGGGCTGTAGCCAGGAGCGTTTCTGCATGCCCCAGGAATACTTTTTGCCCGTAACAAGGCAACTTCCGTTATTAGGGAGGGAACGCTGGAGTAACCGAAATCAAGAGCTTTTACGGAACTCTGACACCGCTCCCGCGGGATGTCGGACCACCTTACCCGCCTCCACCCCAACCGGACACCCGCTTTTCCAGCCCCTCCCCGTTCTCTGACCGCCGGCACCCCTCGCCACCGGCACCTGCCTACAGAGCCCGGACGCGGTGCCCGCAGGGGCCCGGGCGGGACAGCGACCGCCGCTACCGGCTGCCGCTCGGTGCGGGCCGTACCTGCGCGGCGGCGGCGCGGCCCTTCTCCCAGGCGCGGCAGGCCTCGTAGTCCTCCCGCCAGCGGTCGCAGGTCGGCAGCTCCCCGTGCGCGTAGTAGTGGTGGAAGGCGTGCCGCAGCCCGCGGCAGTGCCTCCACTCCCACCAGTAGTCCTCGCACGACCGCGGCGGCTGCGGGCGGACAAGAGACCGGGATAAGCCCCGCTGCCGGCCCGCCCTGCCGCCCCCAGCCCCCGCCGCCCCGCTCACCCTCCAGGTCCCGCCGTCCGCCATACTGCCCCCACCCCGCCACCAATCCCCGCCGCGCTTTGCACGGAGATCCTCGAATCCGGCCAATGGCGACGGGCGACACAACCCGGCAACCCCTTCTCCCCGCCCCAAGGGCCTGCGAGCCAATGGCTGGCCGCTGGGCAGGGCTCCCGGCACGCCACATGACCCCCGCTCCCCGCTCGCTGTCCCGGGAATCAGCACACGGGACGCACGGTGGTCACCGGACAACCTTTACTCGCCCCCCCCAACCCGGGCGGAGCGCACGGCCTGCACCCGGCTCAGGAGCGACACGCAGCCGCCGAAAGGCTGCCCGGGGCATTCCGGCATTACCTAGCACCAGGCAGCAAAGCTGGGTCTCGCCACTCGCTACATGTGCCGCAAGACTGCTACAGTACGTTATTTATCTGAGCTATCAAAAAGGCATGTTATTAATTATAAATATAAAAAGCAGTTACAGGGAGATTGCTTAGAATGATTTATAACCCAACACCTGAAGCTAAGATCAAAGAGTCCCTGCACAAAAGTCCTAAACACCAAAGTATCTGCTTTGGTTTACACCACACCAAAAAGCTTACCCGAAACTGTGGCAAAATACATACAGAGGGAGGAAAATACCAAGCACAGAGCGACGTGAGACCATCACTGCTCGGGATGTAAAAGGGGAGGATACAGTCTAAGAACAGGCCTTCTAGTAAGGTAGAGCTTGGTTTTACCTCTCAGGTTTATCCGAGGTCAACTTCTCCCTCTTTACAACACGTACAAAACATTTCTTCAGAACTCCTAGAACTTACTTTCAACTTAATTTCCAACTGAAAATTAAGACAGTCCAACAACTCCAGTTTTAAACATGAAACCAGTAAAAGCGTTCCTGTGTGCAAACTGACCTCTCCTCCTCTCAACTGCAGTAACTAAGATCCAATATGCTGCAATTGTTTTATTTTCCTCCTAACTGACTAAAGGTACCACAACTTAGGGTTTTCTTCCCTTTTTGCGCAGGGACTGGCCTTCTCCTGAAAAGGCAATAAACCGGCTTCCAGATTCGTCCTGGAAAAAGAGAGGAGGGAAAAAGGTTGTTACTTCTTTGGTCACTGCTTGTGCATGATATAAGCTGAACAATCATTAGAGAGAACATTTCCTCAGAGCAGCAACTGACTGTGGACGTTTCACATCCTTAATCCACTTAATAACCACTTTCTCCCTCAAAATACAAGCATTTCAGGGACCTTTCAGCCAATAAAACTGGCCTGACTTATTAAAATTGTATCAGGTCAATCTTTTTACATCAGTAAGCAAGGATATTGGAGATTGCTTTCACCTAACTCAAACCACTTTTTAAGAGGAATGTGCAATGAAGAATCAGGTACGGAGAGAGGAACCACAAACTTGGGCAGCAGTTCTGGTGTTCTGTGCAAATTCGGGAAGATACAACTTGACTTACCTCTTCGACTTTCTTAACTAGCGGACGTGAGTTTCTAATGAATGTGATCCTACCAATCTTAAAGTCATAGTTGGGAATTCCTCTGGAAAAGAAGCATAAAAATGTTATGGAAGAAGTTTTTTACCTTCCATCCAACAGAACACAGTGAGACCTATTCTACATCTTTCAATACTGTACCAACACTGCTGCAAATTTTCATTACTAAGTAATCCTAGAGTTAAACCACTGAATTACTTCCTGAAGGCAGGCACACATTGCATGAAGTAAATGATCAGATACTGGAGCTGCTGTAGCAGCTTGGCTGTGGGCATGTTTCCATGTGGCCTGTGGTTTCCAAAGGGCCACAGACATGTTTTCCACAAGGGTTCAGGTTTCATTGTGACAAGTGTAAGTGACAGAACACCACAGAAACCATGTACCTGCACACTTCCACCAAGTCCGAATTTCTAAATGTCCTTGTAGGAAATAAGACACACACAAAATCCCGCCCCACAACAAATGCACACATGGTTTGGCTTTGGTTCTCAAAGAAGATTCCACTCTGCCACATTTCACGTGAGTACATCAGCAGGGCTCTGTGCATCACTCGATCCAGCCCAGTCCAGACCTGCTGCCTCTCCCTGTTTGTTTTCCATGTAACCTGAGGTTTAGTAACATTAATTTAGGATCTGCATCTTAAGTGGTCTGGGACCTCACAGTGAGTCTAAAATATTAGATTATTTTCTAAATGCAAACTTAGGATGAAAATAGCTTGTTTACATTGCAGGAGCAGGAAATAAAATAAACTCCACTCAAAAAGTGATCCCAGACATACCTTCGAATGTCTCCTGGTTTAATCGGTGATGGACTGGGCTCAACTCCTTTCTTCTTGCCATCCAGCCTGTTCCCAGAACCAGAAAATGCCTGCATATACAGAATGAGTTTTAATTTAACCGTATCTTGTATTTGAACGCTGCACAGGGATACTGCATTCGGCAAAATCTTACTATAACTTTTATTGAATTACTTGTTTTCGGCATGTTTCTTCTTGGTATATGTAAGCTGATGGACTGTGGGTGGAGGAGTATGTTTCAGTCTCCCATTCAAAAATCACCATTTAAGGACAGGAAGTCATACTGTTACTGGCTGTAACACCCGCAGATAGTTGCCAATTAAATGATAAGCACCTCTAAGAACAGGTACTACTGTTTTGCAGTTGTTTGGAACAACTTTCCCTCGCCATTCCACAACATTCATAAACTAGCAGAAACAGGGGACTTACACGAAATCCTACGTCACTCACGTATCCACTGTGGTCTGCTTCAACATCCTGTGAGGGAAAAGCAAGTTAGTTCATTGCTCATGTTGTGATATGCAGAATACACAAAAACAGTTCCATGTATTTCTGACCAAATATAACTTCACAACAATCCCTTTCCAAAACAACACTTAGTAGACAACCATCTCCTAAGTAACACAAGCAAAAGCATCTGGTAAGTAAAGCTTAGTCTTAATTTTTTCAGGAAGAAAAAATATGTTGCTGCCCCCTGCCCCATCACAAGCACTGTTGACTTCTAGGGAATACATTTTTGAAGAACAGAAGCTTAACCTACTGTGGTCTCTTCATGCTGTGCAGTTCTTTCTGGTTCTTTGTACCCCAAAGGAGCATCAAAATCCACCTATTTACACAAGAAGCAAGAAAATAAGCATGACTCATATTTTTCTTTTAAGCATAATCTTTATACTGCTATCCCTCAAAATCCCACAAACTATCACTCAATTTGATCTAGAAAGAACTGAGGTTTGTTTGCCCAGCATTCTAACTCAGAACTAAAAAGACTAAGCCTCTTAGGAACAGGTCTTAGCATGTACTTGAAACAGTGCAGTGACACAGCACCACACAATATCATCGGAGTTTGAATCAAGACAAGGCTATTAAATAAAACTTGGATTATAAAACACATTGAAGCTAAACATTAAATTCTAGGCACTACAGTCACCTGATGGTACACGAAGCGCAGCTCCAGACCACAGCTGTGGTTACAAAGATATTTGGGGTACTGTCAAATGAGTCATCTTCCCTGTCTCATCTGATTTTTATCTTTCCTGCAGCATCAGAGGTGCTCAGTGTACAGTGCTATCACTGAACGAGATGCCCTCTCCTTCTGGGAGGACACAGTAAAAGCAGACTTTCCACATTAGCTTTAACTTACATTCATATCACATTCTATGATGGACACAGCTTTATCCGGTTTGGTCTCCATTACCCGAAGCTCATAGATCTGAAACAGTAATGAGTATCTTAAGATTGCACATGAAACAGCTCAACTTATACACAAGAAAACCCTATCTAAACCTTACCCTTCAGAAAGCTTCTAGAAAATGAAAGTGAGTGCTCTTTAGGTTGAGGACTGAATAATGCAGGGTCTCTACAGAACTTGAAAGCAAAAATTTTTTAGCTTAGAAGACTGCTATATGCTGGAGCTAAAGAAACTACTTTTTGTTGTAACTTACTACACTCTTACTATACCTTAATCTGCATTCCTAGAAGCAAATTATGAATTTACAATACATGTAAGGGACAGACTTTAAAATTATCAAAAGCACAAATATTTGTTTTCTTGTGAATCAGAAACCAGTCTAAAGAGCAGCTCAGGAGAAGACTTAACTGACTCTTTTCTCCTCCAACAGAAAACTGACTGCAAAATCTACCATCTGGGATTGCTTCTCACAGACACTGCACAGCTCTGTTGATTGTTTTAGCACGACTATGCAACAACAGAGCTTAGACTACAATCCCAAGTGATCACATGTGCTGCCAAAAATACTCAACTATAAAATCCATTCACAAGATGTACTCGTGGTCACAGTCTACTGAAATACAGTGTGCTTTTTTACATGGAACAGAACTTGCTTCCTCAAATTGATGCATCCAAACAAAACCTGCATGGACTGGTGCTGTATACCATACCTTTTCATTGTAGTTGATGGCAATAACATCACCAGTAGTTAGACAAGCGAAGTTCCTCAATGCATTTTCTAATCTTTGAAGTATGTTAAGATGAAACATCTGTTTTCAATGCAACATCAAGGCCTCAATCTACACAACTCCGATCCTTTATCTCTCAAATGTCATTTAAAAGTCACCAGTACTGTAGATAGCCTTTTAGCAAACATTAGGCTGCATGAGTTCTTCTAAAGAGACATGCAGACTCATTGGACTTCAAGCCAAGATTCATGCTTCTTCATTCCAGGTACACTTTGTGCCAGCAGTTGGCAGCATTTCTCTACATAAGCTATCCATTCTTTTTTGTTTTCAGAAGAGCTGTAGTAGTTAACTACTACTAGAAGAGTACAAGCCACACCTGAAAAGCTAGCTCTGCTTTATCATTCAAATTCGGGAAAAAACTTTTGTCCCCTGGCTCCATAACTGAATAGAAGGATACACAGCTTTGGGATTGGTGATGTCAAGAAAATCTGGACTCTGTGGCTGAAATTTTGAGTACGTAGCAACTTGAAGATTAACACTCTCCACTTGCACCAGGCCTCCCTCTTCCAGAAGCAAGTTTTGCATCATCTGCAAGTGTGAAAACAAAGACACAAACCACTATTAACACGACTGATGTTTTTAATGCTCTTTCCTTGCATATACCCATTTTTGCTGCGGCTACCATCTTCCTGGAAATGCACCAATTTACCACAGCTTAATTTCAGGAAGAACAGTCAGGTGCATCTTAAAAAACTGTCTGCTTTGCTGGTTTAGTTAAACTGTCATGGAGGAAAACCCAAGCTGTGACTGAAAGCTGTTGTAGGAACATGACTGGCAAAGACAGTTTCAGGAAACATTCTGCCTCTTTAATATTAAACTGGCAACTCACTAATCCTACTCTTCAAGTTTTGACAGTTCAGCCTGAGGCAACTCACCCAGTGTGGAAGGTAACATATGCCCTCATCAGCCACAAATTCAAGCACTCCACAGTGCGTCATTCGGTCTGAGTTTTTATTGGTCAGCTTGAACAGCATTGGGTAAGTGATATTAAGTCGGCCTGGTGAGAAAGAAGAAAACAATTTTATTTGCTAAGAGCCACTGAAGCTTTTTCTGAAGCTTTCAGAGACTGAATATTGGCAAGAGAATGGGCCAGACTACAGGAGAGTATTCCCCTCATGCCATTATCCCAGTTGCTCACTATAAATCCAGGAGAGAATGCAGATACACAAATACTGTATCACCATCACACTTAAAGCTTTAAATGCCTCTCCACATTTCCCCAAGCTCAGAGATGATCAGACAGCAGGTATTAGCAGAGGGATCTGTTGCTATAATGTCCTTGTGCTATTATCAGGTAGCTCCTACCTAATGATTTTTAAGAGGCCCTGCCTATTTTAAAATTAAAACCTCAGTAAACTAATTTCTCAAAGAAATTCTATTAAGGCTAAAACTTAGGGGGGGGCGGAACCTTAGTTAAAAGGGCAAATAAAGACCATTTATATCACTGATTCAGTTAACTTTTTCTCCCCCATTTCAAAGTTAATTGTAACTTATTTTGCCTTTAATTTTGTTTGCTCCAGACAACAGCATCCAGAAGAAGCAAATTGAGATTAAGAATTTACTAGATTAACTGTAACCATTATACTGAGAATGCTATTATCAAATATTGATTCATGCCTCAGGTAGTCCAACACTTCAGATGTCCGTACTTGAAGACAGACAAGCCCTATTAATTCTGACACACAAAATACTTCCAAAATACATATTTTAAACTAATTACTCTCATGTTCTCTACCCAAGTCAGATTTAATTAAAATACTGTGGTATTTTCTTACACATTTGGTCACGTTTCTAATGTTGTTATTCTAGAATAAAACATTCACTTACTGAGTTGATCCAAAGCTGATGGTGGCATAATTACTGCAAAAATGAATGAGAACGTAAGATTAGGAAAAGTATGTCTTAAAAAGAGTACAGAATATACAATTTTACCAGTCCTTTCTCTAAAATATCCTAACAAAAGGAGATTCTAAAACCTCCTGCAAATTAATTTCTGAGCCAAAGATTTCAGTAGAATCAGTCATGACAAATACATCTGCTGGCATAGAGAGCTCAGAATTTAATAAAGAGAAGACAAGTTTTTACAATACCCAGTACTAAAGGAAACATTTCCTAAATGCAGTTTTATTTACTTGGGCTTATAGGTTCTCTCAAACCGATGCCAAGTCAAAGCAACACAGGATTAGTCTGACAGCTTGAAAACTAACTTGGCCAATCTATTATTTTTGTTCCAGCTAAGTACAACTTAGGGGGACGAAGTCTTTGGTGAGAAATTTCTATGGCTTATAATGGATCCAAGATTTTAACGAGAGGCTTTAAAAGAGAAGAATGCCTTCCTCTAATGCTCATAAAACCAGACTCACTTGGTAAGTTTCGATAACTAGAGAGTAAGGAGAAAAAAGATGAACCCTCCCTCTTTTCTTCCTTAAAGCCCCACCCAGGGCGCTCTCCTAGCTCCAGCCAACAGCACGTCTCCGTGCAGCTCAACAATGCTCCTGGAGTTCTGGCCAAGAGCTGTGTTACTTGACATTATTCACAAACACTCTTCTAACAGGTTATTAGTCAAAATAAAACATGCACATACTCTTCCCGCCTTTCTCCACATCTGACCTGTCATTAGGTCCAGCAAGCATGGAGACTGAGAAGCAGCGGTATTGGGTTGAGAAGCGGTTCTGGAAAACCCGAGGGATGGGGTGATCGAACATATTAAAGGAGAACTAGAGGAAAAAACACAGAAAGAGAAGGCGGCATTAATAGGTATCAACAGCGCACTGAAGTGCTACAGCGCTCACTGCCGCGTCCTCAAGCTCAGCTAGAGCTCCGTGCAGAGACGCACGGTGCCTCCCTCTCCCGTCACAGAGCCCGGGGAAGGGCTGTGCGCCCGGCGCTGCGCAGGGACACAAAATGGACGCAGCGCACTCGGCCTGCCCAACACACCCCGCACACGGGCGGCGATTCGCGGCACAGACACCGACACTCGCCAGCCCTCCGCCTGGCGTTCGCTGGCTTCGAAAACGGCCTCGGCGAGCGGGCAGCCAGCGAAGGAACGCGGGGCCCAGCCGCCCTCCCGCCCGCCGTGACTCGACACTTCCCCCGGCCGCTCCCCGAGCCTCACCATGGCGGCGGCGCTGGGGCGCGGAGCGACAACGCTCCAGCTCCGCGCAAGAACCGGCGGACACACCGCAGGCCGAACGCTGCCTCGCCCCTCTCCTGACGGGGCTCTGGCCGCCGCCGCCGCGGGCCCCACCCCACGGCCCTGCCCCTCCCAGCGTGCCCCGCGGCGCCCGCCCCCTCGGGTGGCCATTCCGCGTGAGGGCGGAAGAAGGGATGGCGCTCCCTTCAATGGAGCCATTGTGGAAGGTTTGTAGGGGCGCGCCACCTTTCCTCAGCCACCGGGAGTTGACGGGATCTCCTCCGCCTCTTCGCCCGACCCCGTTAAATGGCAGCGCACATGGCTCGCCCGCAGCAAACATGGCAGCCACGGTAACAAGAGCCAGCACGGTGCTTCCGGTTCCGATACTCCACGGATTGGCCAGCCGCACGTGTATCACCTCTTTAATTCCAATGTCATTGGTGAAGACCCGGAACGGGTTGGGCAGTTTGTCCAATCCGCTCCGCGAAGGAGGGACGGATGCTTTTCCATTGGTTAGAGAGCCGTGAGGAGAGGACCAATGAGAAGCGGCGCTGATTTGGCGCCCAACTTGAGTCGGGGCGGTCCGCGGCTGCCGCCGTTTCTCCCCTGTCTGCCCGCCGCTCTCTCGCTGCCGCCATGTTCGTCTCTGACTGCCGCCGGGAGTTCTACGACGTGATCGTCAACCAGGTGCGGGCCGCGGATGGGACCTGATGTCGCCCTGCGCGTCCCGTCCGCGGGCGGGGCTGCCTCCCCTGCAGGGCTGAGGCGTTTCCCGCCGCCTCACAGAGCGGGGATGGTGCCGGGGCGTCCCTGGCTCTGGCGGCGGGGGCGGCTGAGGTGTTCCCGTTCCTGCCTTGTCAGGGTGGCGGGAGGGCGGCTGTCAGGCGGGCCTCAGGCTATAAAAATACCCTCCCCGGACGTGTCCGCCGGTTGGGAAACCCGAGCCAGAAGCCGCCGCGAGTGCTTCGGGCAGTGCTGTGGATCTTCTGTTTAACCAAGACGTCTCTAGATCTATTTGCTGTTTGGTTTGCTGTTTTTCCTTACGTATTTTCTAATTATTGTTTTGCCTTTTCGATTTATATTTTTTTCCAGACACTAGATCTTGTGTTCTGTCTTTTTTCGCGGTTTCTCTTGTAACGGGTCAGGTTTGCCGCTTTCATTTTTACCTCACAGTTGCTTTGCTTTGCTTTGTTCAGACTGGGTATGTACACTGGAGTGGTAAAGTTTCAATTGGACAGTCTTCTACTATTTTTACCTATACAATTGCGTTATGGACTGTGCAAATGAATGTATTTCCCTCAGCTTCTCCACCTATGAACAAAATCTCTAACCAAGACCCCAGAATAAAGAACCACCAGACAAGCCATTTTACCTAAATCAAGGTTATTTCAAGAATTGCTTTGCTCCTATTTTTGCTACCGATTTTCTTTAGTCAAAACTGTTTCAGGTCTCATGCTGAAAGACTCTTTAGGTCTTTCTAGACATTATAAAACATATGTAGGGCTGAGCCTTCAGAACTATGTGCTTCATAGGGGTCTGATTAACCACATTTCCTCAAAGTAGATGCTGTATTTTGAGGGTGTGAGGTTGTTTATTGCTCATATTTATAGATATCCAAATTGGTTCATTTTGGTTGTGGTGTCCATTCAGAAGAGATCCTATTTTATGCCTATGATGCTATCTACATAAATTTACTTTCTGGTCTCATAGTGATGTATGCATTTCATGCACCAGTACATTAGATTTGGTGCCTAAATTAATACTGTTATTCTGTTGTTTTTGCAGCGTGTCCTCCTTCTTGTCGCATCAGATGTTGATGCATTATGTGCTTGTAAAATACTCCAAGTAAGTCTTTGTTCGTTGTCACTGTAGAGTAACAGTAAAAGAAAAACACCCAAGGATCCTTTTAATAGGTTTAAACTGAGGAAAGGGTAAAAGTTTAAACTGCTTTTGTAACTTACTTTTTCCATGAGTTATGACACTTAAGCCAGTTAGTCACGCTCCCAGATTACAAACCTACATGTATTTTGGGATGTCTTTAAGATAAAGATTTGTATGAAGTAGAATTATAGCATGGTATAGCACTGTAGAAGGCGACGTTTCCCCTTGCCGTTGCTAACAGCTGTTTGCTTCATTTCAGGCTTTGTTTCAGTGTGATCATGTGCCATATACACTCGTCCCAGTATCTGGATGGCAAGAACTTGAAACTGCCTTTTTCGAGCATAAAGATCAGGTGAAAAAACAATGGAAACATTTTAGTTGCAGCTTATCTTAGAGAGGCATGCGTTTCTTTCCTTTCTCAACTATGAATGTCAGTTCTTAAACTAATTATTATTATTGGTTACAGAACCCGGCGGTTAAGCTTTAATACACTAGCAAAAAACTTTTTTTACATCAGTTCAAACTAATATGCTACAATTTGGATAGAGTCAAATTAAGTTTGCACACATTTTGAGATGTAAAAGGTGGTGGTATTGGATATCCATCATCTCCAAGCTTGGTGCTTTGCCTTACAAATATTTTTCCTCCTCAGAGACATCAATTATCAAAAAGTTAATAGAGTTTTTGGTAACGGTGGGTGCCTGGGATGTTTTGTAAAGGTGTTTTCAAGTCTTCTGTGTTTTCTGCTAATTTAAGTAAAAAGCTTTTTTATTTTTTTCCCTTTTGTTTGCAGTTCAAATATTTTGTTTTTGTAAATTGTGGTGCCAATGTTGACCTTTTGGAGATCTTGCAGCCTGAAGAAGACACTGTCTTTTTTGTATGTGACAGCCACAGACCTATCAATGTAGTGAATGTTTACAATGACACACAGGTAACCGCTTTTCTTTCACAGCAAAAATCTTCCCCTGGTGTGGTGGGGACTGGGGTGGTGCTTTTCTGTGTTTTGTAAAACTGCTACTGCTAGTTAGTAAGGCAGGAAGCAATATTAATGGATATTTGCAGTAATAATGTTCATGATCAGAAAAAAATCTGGTTTCAGTAGTAAAATATATACTGATAGCACTGTGATTGTTGTCAGTAGTAAACAGCTGTTAATCCTGTAGCTGTTAATCAAACTGCTACAAATCAGAGGATGATCATCCTCCAGAATGTAATGTGTTATCTCTCAGCATTAGCAGAACCTAGAATGTGATTATTACGCACAAATGATTTGGCAACATGTCCTTAACAAGCATAAAAAATAAGAATTTTTGTAGTAATGCTGTAACAAAGGGATATATTTTTCCGCTCTTATTTTGTATGAGTGGTTTTTGTATTAAAAAGTAGTATTTTTTGTTATGCCATGAAACAATCACAGCCAAAATAAATTTTTAGTTTCTCTTCTGAAGTATCTGAAGTATTCCCATTTGTAATTTAAAATGTGTTTAAATCGTTAAATAAGATACTTTGTTTATTTAAAATGCTGTTTTTCTTTCTTGCTAGATTAAGTTGTTAGTTAAACAAGATGATGATCTTGATGTTCCTGCTTATGATGATATCTTCAGAGATGAAGAGGATGAAGAAGAGGACTCTGAAAATGAAACTGATGGGTCAGAGCCTTCAGAGAAACGTAGACGTTTTGAAGAGGTGCTTTTCTGCTACTTTGTTGAGAAAAGAAGGAAAATAAAATAGTGCTTATGCTTTATATAATTCTAATAATTACATTTGAATTTAAAAATAATGCTGTTACATCACAAATGGAAATGTAAGGTTTAAAAATAATTTACTACTCCCAGTAGAGTTTCAAATACACAAAATGCTTATCTGAACTGCACAGAAATATTTCCCGTTCTTTAAAAAAAAAAAAGATGTTTTGAACTTCATTATGCATAACGCTGTCTTTGTGTAACCAGTGAACTCAAGAGCTCTCTGTGATGACAGGCTCTGGCTTCTCAGTCTACATTGAAGGGTTTTTTTTTGTTGTTTAGATCGAAACTTTCTTCTTTTTAATGATCACTTGAGAAGATGGAAGCGCACAGATAATTAGGAATACATTTTGTCTGTCCTTGTACTAGTAAATTAACAAAAGTATATTAAGGTAGACATAAAAAATGAAATGTGTCATATGTTAATTGTACTGTATTTTCTGCTAATAACATACAAAGAAGCAAATGCCTGAGGCTCGCAATATTAAGAGATTAATATAAAGGCAGTCTCAGATTTAATATGTATTTAATTTTATTTTTCTATTAACAGTGTGCATTTTTCCTACTAATCTATGAAGGGTGCTAAATCAGCAAAAGCAGACATCAGAAATTCAAAGGAAAATCTATAAATAATGCACATGAAAGCTATTCTCAAATCTGTTAAATACTCCACAAAGATCTTATTGATTTCTTTGAGTTTTCAAGCTGTTGATGCAATTTATGGAACTTAAATATACACCGAGTGCTTAATTTTCTGAACTTCATTTACTATCTATTTTTCATCAGTCTTATTTTTATGTTACAAAATGGTAGGAGGCAATGTTGCTGGTGTTGAAAACACTGTGTACTGGGCTTCTTATTTGTGAAGGAGAGGTAGAGAACTGTCCGGACTTTATACAAGTGTGTTCCTTGGAAAAATAATTAATGATAATATTTTTCTCATTAGATCAATAAGTGTTCTTTTTAATACTTAGTCAAGTGTCTGGACAGGTGCTAATCTACTATTTTTTCCAGCTTTTTAACATTATATTAATTTACAGGATGTAATAGAGAGAACAATGAAGAGGCGGCAGAGGCGGGAATGGGAGGCACGCAGGTGGGTTTAACTGGTTTTTATTATGTTGCTTGTGTCTTTATCTTACTGTTGGATTAAAATCAAACATATAAAAACATGATACTGTGCTGCTTGATTTGCAAGATGCTTTAATTCTAACTTTATTCAGAAAATTGAGAGATTTACTATATAAAAATAAAATGTTTAAATGAAGATAGTTGTAAATAATAATCATTAAATCTGAGCAGCAATAGGTGCATTATTCCACTTCTAAGTAGCTGTAGTATTCTGGTTTTGTCTGTTGTGGGGTGAAATTTGTGCTT